ATTCTGCATACGTTATAGCAAACTCGGCTATTATTCAAAGGATTACAGAGAATATACGATAATTTACGCCATAAATAATAACCCCTCTCCAGAAGTTCCCAATGTAAGACCGAAAATTGACCAACACGATGTAGAAAATTTACAGCTTCATGATTTAGCTAACAAAAATACAATACAAATTTTCACAGAATTTGGTGTCGATGAATTTTTGAAAAATGACGTGGTAAACTGGACCGAGTCTAAAAGCTACTTAAAAGCAGAGGAAGTTTTTAAGAATCTTCGAGTTACCAATGACGTGGCAGAAAGAGGAGTTTCATTGATCCAAGACCTTAATCGCAAAATTACCCATGATGAGGATCAACTTCAGTTTCTCTTACAAGTAGTTTCTGAGCATCGGAAGATTTACCCTGATTGCAGCAAACACACTTTAAAAAAAAGCAATTCAACTTTTATATAATTTTTTAATTCTTTAGTAAGTAAAATTAGAAATGTTAAAAATGATTTATATAATATAGCTTGACTTATTGATAAAAAAATATAAGAACGTATACATAAAATAGTTTTCATTATTATTTTTTTAAGTTAAAAATTTTCAAATAGCTTGGGATGGCTCAAAAATTAATTTTTCGTGTTTTTTTTCTTGAGAATTGTATATAAAACCAGGTAGAACAATTTTCAAGTGTAGGAGTATAACATAAAAAAAAAAAATTTTTTTTTGTCACTTTTAGACCACCTTAATATATATATATATATACATATATTATGGTTATTCCAAATAAATTAGAAAAATTAATAAATAACAATGTTTTATATTGAAATAATATAAATTAAATTTAGATAAGATTAATATGAATCAATTGATTCGTATTATAAAAACCCAGTACAGGGGGGTCATGTCACAGTGGTGACGTGACATGGTTAAGTATTATATCCTACAGTGATTAAAATCACTATCATAAAAAACGCTTCAATGCAAATCTTTATATAGTGTTTAATTAAAAAAAAATTGTTGGATTATTCCAAAAGCTACATGATCTGCTATTTCCTTACTTATATCCTGATTAAGATAAAGTATGTCGAATGAAAGAGGTATATAAATATTATTTCTCATAAAAAAATTGTATGAATGTTAAACATTTTAAATACAAAATCAAGAATTTTCACACAAAAATAGCATTTGGTAACTATTTTCATTAAATAAAGTCCGATTTTTTTTTCCATGATAAAGAATATTATATTTGCTGTAATTTAAGATTTACATAAAAGTGTCAGGCTTTCCAGAACACTTTCAAAAGTTAATTTTTTGTGAAAAAATTGTCATTTTCAATCCCTCCCTGTGGGCAGGTAAAGGGTCAAATTTATAAAAGAATACATCAAATGGTAGGTAAAGACATTAAGCATCTATATGAAAAAAATTGAAAAAATGTCGAAAATGATTAGCGATTTTTAAATTTGTAATTTTTTTGGAGTTTTCCCCCATTTACGAGGAAACGAGGTAATTTTTTTCAATTTTTGAGGGTAATGTCTTCGACTAGATACGATTTGTGATCTTTTGACGTATCGTTGAAAGAAATCCGTTCGGTGAGAGCTGAGAAAAAGTGGCGATAGACAAAATAAAAAACAACACTATTAAAAAATGAATACCTTCTTAGCTTTACGTCGAAGCTAAAACTAAATGTTATATGATTATATTCAATATTATGTATTGAAGCATATTTTAAAGTTAACAAAAAATCCAAGTTGAGCTATTGCAAAAGAAGCCTCAATTTATAATGAATTGCGAAATTGTGATAAAATAAGTAGTACGCTAAAGTAAGTTTTTTTATGTAAATAAAGTAAAAGCTAAATTAAACCTTGGATAAATGTAATTCAATTTTTCGTCCATATTTTTGGTACATTTTTTTCACCTTTAAAGTGCTTTTGAGATAAAACAGTTCTTTTCAAAACCTACTAATTATTATTTGTATACTTGATGTAATTTGAATATTATTTATTATAATCATAATACATTAAACATTAACTATAGAATTCCACAATTACTATTTTATTTGATTAAAGTAATGATGAGGCATTTTTTTTTTATTGAATTTTATTTGTCAATACAAGCAATTTTTATCATTAGATCTTATAATTATTATAGGTATATAATAGATAAAACATAGGTTTTTAGTAAAGCTTGGGAATTAAAGTTACTGTGATTGACCATTTTTTATATATGAAAACAGTACAGTAATTATTTATAAAATATTTAAATTAATTTTAAAATCGATTATAATTTTAATGCAAAATATTCAGCTGTTAATTATTAAATAAATTGCGTTAGGTTGTTTAAAAGATAAGTAAACTGTTTAAAATATTTCATAAGATTAATGTAAATTTTGAAATTTTGATTAGAATTATTATTTTATAGTATAGGGAATTATTTACAAAATTTAATAAACAAAAAATTACGTCAATGCAATTATGTAGCAGCTTTGTCGGGCGCTCAATATACGAAAAATATGGCACAAAGCACCCATGCTTTTATCACAATAATACTAGTGNGAAAAATATGGCACAAAGCACCCACGCTTTTATCACAATAATACTAGTGTTTTTTGTTCATAATTATTTAAAAAATTATTTTTAACTTTTTAGTTCGATGTGCTTTAAAAGCGTGTTTTTTTAGTTTTTTTAAACAATATTTATTTTTCACTTTTTAGTTTCATGTTATGATAGTAGTTACTATCAATATCTTGGTTGTTAGGGGTAACGGGAAATCAGAGTTCGATATCGGAGAGGGAGTCAGAGAAACGGCTACCACATCCAAGGAAAGCAGCAGGCGCGCAAATTACTCACTCCCGGAACGTGGAGGTAGTGACGAAAAATGACGATAAGGAAATCATCCCTCGTAATCGGAATGAATACTTTACATCTCTTAATTAGAATAAAGCGTGTTAATATAAAAATTTTAATAGTAATTAGAATATATATATATACAAGTAAAGCGACTTAAGTACGTAAACGTATCATTCACTAGGTATAGCCGCGTTTTGTGAGCGGGCGGGTCGGACTAATGTTATATCTGAGGTATAAACGGCGTGGGGTGAATGCGTTGACAGTCTAGTCTCAAGGCCATAGACGACGGAATATGCGATAACGCGGAACGCTTGGAGAGTTACAAACATACATACAGGTGAAACTAATATAAGCGTGTTAAGAAAGTCATAATGAAACTTTATGTAAAAAATAAATATATTTTTACTTATACGAAACAATTTTAGCTATCTGTATTGAAAATGAATTACAGAAGAAAATGAACAGTTTTTACTCTCTTGAGAAGTTTAAAAGTATGATGAAGCTACTACATTATTGTACTGACATCGTCTAAATTTTAAAACTATCCACGTACAATGACGATTCTTTGTGCTTGTTTTTTTATAACGAAAATAATAAATTATTTAATTGACAATAAATAATAGATGTTTATACACCCAATACAAAATAATCAATCACCTTATTAACACGCTTATATTAGTTTCACCTGTGTGTATGTTTGTTTGTAACTCTGCACGCGCCAATTTCTCGCGTATCTCGTCGTCTATGACCTTGAGACTAGACCGTCGTAACGCATTCACCCCACCCCGCACACCAAACTCCGGAAACACTATTCCTGTGAAATTTTATTTTTGGTTTTCGTACCTGTACATGCGCGCTTGTCATCAATATTATATATATACAGAGTGTTCAGTAAGTTAGGAAACAGTTAAATTGTTACAAACAATGAGTACAATAGAAATTCGTTTCCTTATTTACTGAACACCCTGTATATATATATAAACAAACTGTTATTGTTTATTATGAGATATAAACATTTAAAGGTTCAAATTTTTTTGAATTAATATACATGTATGACACATGAGGGATTTCAAATACAGGTATCTAATTTTTTTTTTATGACGATGTTCGCAGGTATTAAGCCTTTATTTATTAATTGGTCTTGTTCTAGTAAACTCAATGGTGGATAATAACTTTCATGATATAAAACTTATAAGGTCAAATAAAGTTATAACTCTATCTTCAATAACTTCTATTCATAATTTAATAATGAAATAATTAAAGTAAACCCATTGCTACTATTTCAACTAATCGCTATTTAAAAAAAAACCAGCAGTGTCCCGGCACAGTGGGTATAATTGGGTGCAGTATAGATGATATGTGACAAAGATTAAAATCATTATCATAAAATAACGCCTAGATGCAAATTTGTAGATAGTGTTTAATTTTAAACACTAAAAAAGAGATATTTTAAACGATAAAATTGGGAAAAAATTAGTTTTGAAATATTAAAAATGTTTTGCTCTTCCCTTTGAAAATATTTATTGAAATAGATATTAACATTTTTAGAGTTGATAGTAGACAAAAGATCCCAAATTTGTGTTCTGAAGTGAGTTGATATATTTAGACCAGTAATCCAGTAAAACATTTTTTTTTAATTAAAAATATGAATTCACGGAGTAAATTATACTTTAATGAATGTTTGTAACGTATAGAATAACATATGTTCATAAAAATGTTGGTAACCTTTAAGGAATAATAAATAAATATAAAAATATACAAACTATAACAACTCGTTCCGCTTTACCCTATAAATTATATGAGTGATAATAATATCAACTCTTTCCTATTATTCAAAAATGATAATTTAACAACTTTTTAATATGATAAAAAGTCACGGCTTTCAATTGTATCACTCATTTTTACATTATATTTAGAAGAAACCCAACCGAACCTTGTGGAAATTTTGTCCTTCGTATAAAAATGAAGATTTAAAAAGTAGATAAGTTAATAACTCTTATTAGTTATGATAAATCTCTCATTAGCGATCAAAATGATTTTTTTTATAAATTAAAAACAACATTATTACAGTTAACAATATAAAATAATAATGTTAAATTGCCGGATATTCTCAAAAAGTCAAGGACTAAAATTCGTTTAAATTTTCGTATAAATCTACCTAATCTCATAAAACTTAACAATAGTTTTCCATTGTTGACGAATACCACATCAAAGGCAATACTTTATTTTTTGCATTAATTAATAGTAAAACTACAAACTATGTTTATTAAAAAAGTATTTTTGGTTGCAGTTTTCGTAATTCTAGGATCTATGTTTTATTCAAAAGTAAGTGTCTTTTCTTCGTATAATTATGTACAATATTATGATAATTATTATTAACTTTGAAATAATTTTCACTCAAAATATTTATAATTAAAAAAAAATTTAAAACTTATATTTAAAGAGAAGAATGCCATATTTCATTATTAAATATTTTTTAACTGATTATACATGATGGATTTTTAAAGTTAAACGCTTTGAAAGTCCTTTAAATCATCTATAAAATATGAACCAGTTAAGAGAGGTTATCGTTCGGTAATAGTTTTCGCTGCAAACTAGTTGATGCGCGCGGCAAAAAATTCATCCGAATTCCGTCCCAGATTTTGTTTTTAGGGTACTTTTAAGGTTTTATAGAAACTGCGTCCAAGGAAAAAAAATGTTCAACATTAAATTAAACATGACATTACAAATCAAATATTAAAAATGTTATTAGTATAATACTTCAAACGTTTTGATATTTTATATTTCATGTACTTCTTATAAATATATATCTTATAAAAATGTAAAACTATTTTTTTAAATGGCAACATACACAATTATTTAATAAATAAATATCTATTTAAGAAAATTACTGGTCGATAACAATTTCTGAACCAGTACTTAGGAAATGGCTATTTTAAAACATAGACTGAAGGCGCAGGTTTGTCGATATTTTTAAAAATAATTTTTTTTAACAAAACTATTATTTTAAAAGACATCGAGTGTTTAACGTTAAATCAACTTACAATATTTTTAATTTTTGATCAATTTTATTAGGCCTCAGATGACAAAGAAAAGTTAGCAAAATTTATCTCTAGTGGAATGAAATGCTTCAGCAATGTTAACATCGGTAATTAAATAATTATTAATGTATTATGAAGTATATTAAGTATACTTCAAACAATATTAATATTTCTAAATTTTTTAAATGTATTAAAATATTATTTTAATTATTTTGTTATAACCTTTTTACTATAAAAAAATTAATTATTTTTAGTATTTCCATTTTTTTTTAAATTAATACTATTTTATAATTTGGATATGGAGTGAAACGAGGGTATAACTAAATTAATTCTTTATCTAATAAATAAGCTAGTTATATATATATGCTTTTTACCGTTTAAAAAATTAAATTTGATACCCTCATATATGTATAGAATGTAAGAATGTATAGAGTGATCTGTTCATCATAACCCACTTAATTACTTACAGAATAAAAATAATTACGGTAAAACTTTGAAAATTCTTAATTAAATTGCTTAATATTAAGGCTCATTTATTTATAGTGTTCTAATCCTCAAGAACCTAATTTCAAAAACCTATCTGAAGAAGAAACAGAGATATGGGGGTAAGAAAAATCGGGAAAATTGTTTTGTGTAAAGATACATTAGCATTGGTTTAGCGCACTAGCATACGCTCATATGATAAAAATAAACAACCGTGTTTTTACCCTCTACCTATATTTTATATTTCATGGTTAATAAATTAAGAAAAACATGTAACTAATAAATAAATCTCAACCATTATTTTTTATTTAGCACGCCAAGTAATCTAAGTATCTAAAAGTTTTTTTTTTTCGGAAAATTAACAAAAACTATTCCGTTTTCCCATAAGAAGTGATTAGCAATTCTATCATTAGGTACTCATTTTTTAAATTTAAAAATGGTTATTGAAATTGAATTTTTTTTACAGCATTAGCATTAGTATACAGATTAATTTGATGTAATAGAATTCGTTTTTTGTATTTTCAATATTTCACTTGGTCCTTCCACAAATTTTGACATACGGTCCCATTATTCTCATAGTGCGATATAGTTGCTTTCATGTCAAAAGTCACTAAGTTAAAAAATGTAACCAAGTGTTTCAATTCTTAACAACCTCGTGATAGAACGATAAATGATACTAAAGAAGGTTTAAAATTGAAATATTTATTTTATTAGTATCAAATTCATTTAAAACAACACATTTATTTTCACCATATTTGTTCTAATGCTAAAATTAATTCTATTATGAAATCTTATTAATAATTTTATAATGAATTATTTAAGTTGTGATACATTAATTAAATGAAATTTCAGATGCTTGTGCCGAGATGCTAGAAATTGACTATGATAAAACACAACAAAAATATATAGATTGCAAAGTAAGTTTTATATAAATTAACTATCATAAGTTAGCCGTTCTATTTTTAAATAAAATAAATATTTCTTCTATTTTTAATTTTTTTTTAGTGTGCCTTGGCGTGTGTAGGAAAAGACTTTAACTTAGTAAGTAATACTAAAAAAAATATACTCACTTTAACTTTTCCATAAATTTTTTTCTCAAATTTATAGTTAGAGGAAGGTAAAGCAAAGCGAGAAAACTATGTTAAAATAATGGATGAGATTCAGAACGCTACAGTCAAAGCTATGATGAAAAATATTCATGACTCCTGTCCTGATCGTACGTATAGAAAAAACAACTTGAATATATTATAGATAGATAATCATTTCAGTTGCAACATATTTTACTCATCTAATCGTGTACCCACGCCAGGTTTGAATTTGTCGGAGGGTTTTAAGAGCACTTGCTACGTGCCACATTTTCGTATGTCTCTCTAACGCTGATACTAAAAAAAAATTAGCATTGTTAGAAAATTTATAAAAAAAAATTGTCTGATTTCCATTAAAATAACTATTTTTATTTTGTTTTTATAATATGGGACTAAAAGTAGTACGTTTAAGTTTCACAATGGAACATTTGGTGAACACAATAAAATCGAAATAAATGTTTGTATGTTTTAATGTTTATTTTTATAATATAATTATTATAATTTTATAAATATAATCATTAACTCAATTTAAATTTTGGTTTAACTAGAATGAAATATTTCGGAATACTAACTAATTTTCTCTTTGCACTAAAAATATTTAAGTAAAACAATTGATATAATTTTATTTTTAATTCTTTAATAGGGTTGAACTTGATTAAACATCGAGTATTTAATAGGAAAATAAACAAAAATTTACTTTTAAAATTGGAGAATATAGATTCTTTATAGCAAGGGGATTATTGAATTTCAATTGAATTATGCAAATAACTCTACCGCCCATTTGTTAACTTCTTGCAAAATATTTAATTACTTCTAAAACTTAACTTTATAATCAGTATTGGGTGTACTAAAACTCAACGAATCGGGCTATGAAAAACAAAACATACGGTATCAACCTTTAAGTGTGACACCAATCAAAGAATTTCGAAAAACACCTGATGGATTTGCCATCAAATAACTAGTTTTAGTAATACATGGTTTTTATTAGAAAAATCTGCTAGTGATACTATTTTTTATACATTTTTAAATTATAAACATTTACATTTTTTGTAAATAACTTTTTAGATAAAATTTATATTATGAAACATTTTTTTTTAGCTGAAGGCGCTGATGAATGCATTATGGCCGGAAATTTTATGAACTGCGCATTAAAGAACTCTCCTGCGGTAACGAATATTGAACTATAAATAAAAGTTATAACCAGTGGCGTTTTACACTTATTTATTACTCAGAATGGACGATTTTTTGTTTTTATTTTTGAAATAGGGTAATAAATAAAAAATACTGTGAGACAAGATACTTCGTTATGTACGCCACTGATTATAATTATTTAAATATTTAAAATATTCATTAATTGATTCGTCTGAAGAAAATATAAGCTTTTAAGATATTTTTGGCGAAACGTAAAAAATATAACTAGCGCTTGGGACTTAAGGCATTTATAAAAATTGTTTTTATCAACCGATTGTTTTTAACCGAGTACATCAATGACAAATTGATTTTTTTTAACAATAAAAAAGTATGTTAAATAGGAATTTGATTAAAGGGTGTTTTACTCTACACTAGAGTAAAAAAGTGTTATTGTGGTACTGTAAATACTTAAAATATTTTCTCAAAATTGAGTGTCTCGGAAATGGCACAAACAAATTTTAAAATTTTAAGTCTCAGTCATGATTAAATAAAAATTAAAAAATTGTTTAATATTTTCAGATTTTATATTTTATGTATGATAAACTTTTATTTATATTTTTTTAATTATTATTTCTCTAATCACTCAAAATAGTTGTGTCACAAGGCGGAAGTCCCAGAATAATAAATATCTTTGCCCAAAAATTAAAATAATGAAAAAAAAAAAAGTTCTCAGTGCTAAAAACAACGAGAACTCGCTCTACTTAATTTTTTGTCGTCAATTCAAATATAATGGGCTGTTGTCAAACTAACCTTTCGATTGATTTGATGTCAGCATCCGAAATGTATAGAAACCACAAGAAGAAGATTTTGAGTAGGTCCTTTAGATCTGAAAATCCCATGACGTGACCCTTAATCCTGACCTGAATTTAGCAACCTTTATTAAAATTAAATTATAGGACAATTTTTCTATCTAATTTTTTTAATATCAATTAAATGTTTACAAGACTTTTAGTTGATTGATTTTTTTTAAATAGATTCAGAATTTTTTCTAGAAAGACAATATATTTTTATAATAATTCAAATAAATAATATATAATTTTTACATAATCAAGTAACGGACATTTGATTTAAATAATATTTTTTCAAGATTCTCTGATTTTTTTTTAACTTTTTTTTTTTTAGATAAAAGAACGCATAACTTCATTAATGCATGCAGTGACTGGTAAATCAAAACAAAGATAAATTCCAAATACTTTTGGTTTCAGAGCATTTCTAAATTCATTAACTTAAATTAATTATTTAAAATATTTATGTAACAAAATTATTTAAGTATAAAGTTTGATAAACAAATGTAAAAATGTGTTGCAAACAATAAAATTATAGAACTATGTAAAACTAGTTAAACTTTTTCTTGATCAAAATCTTTTGTACATAGAAAATTCGCCATTTTCATTGTTACAATCTTTTTCTTCTTCCTCGCCTTAATCACAACTATTTGGGGTCGGCCACCCTTATCCTAAACTTCCACTTGACACGATCTCCCACATCATCTACGCTCACATCAGCTGTCCTCATATCACATTCAATAATATCCCTCCATCTCTTTTTTGGTCTTCCTCTATCTCATCTTCATTAAACATTCATTTCTATAAATAGTAATAAATATTTTCATTGTTACAATTATAAAATTAATACCTTTAATAAACTATTTATTCATAAAAGCAGAATAAATTCTAAAAACTATCAGGGAGTTATCACAAATATATATATATTTTTTAACTTCATCAATTTTAATAATTGTTTCATCTTTGTATAATAATAAATAACACTCATAATAACAATAATATAAACTAAATATTTGAAGATTCAATTGCTATTCTCATGATTTTGTGGCGGTCGAATGTTCTAGAATGTTCGGCCGCCGCCGCCTCTAGAAGATTTCTCTGACTATTTAAGGGCAAGATCGTCGCTCCAGTCAATCAATCGATCAGTCAATCACTTACGCACTCTGTCTTAAACGCGCTTCGTCTCTCGCTGTTATTTGTTATTTGTTAGTTCGTTGTAATATAGTATAGTTGTTATTAAATCGTAAAAGTGTTTATTACTTCTATATATATTACACCTCGCTACATTGGTGACCTCGACGATAACAAGTATGAACGCCGAAGAACTACACAATCAATTGGAGGAGTTACGCCAAGAAAACGCTCGCCTTGCAGCACTACAGGCACAGCAATATCCAACAGCTTCTGTGAATCGCGTTGCCACCTTTCTGGTCCGAAAGACCGAGCTTATGGTTCTCACAGGTTGACTCGCAGTTTGCAATCTCGGGAATAACAAGTGAGGAAACAAAATTTAATTATGTTGTGGCTCAGCTTGATACGCGTTACGCCGCCGAAGTAGAGGATATTATTACTAACCCACCGCCTACTGAACGCTACAAACATCTACGCGCAAAACTCGTTGAACGGTTGTCTATCTCAGAAGAACAACGTGTGCGGCAACTCATCAATGAAGAAGAACTAGGTGACCGTAAGCCATCACAGTTCTTACGACATCTCCGTTCCCTTGCCGGCACTACTACATTACAAGACAATATTTTACGTCAACTTTGGCTCCGCCGTCTACCATCACATGCACAAGCTATTTTAACCGCACAATCAGAGCTTCCTCTGGATAAGGTAGCCGAGCTGGCTGACAAAATTGTTGAAGTGCAGCCAGCCCCCTCGCAATTCGTCCATGCTGTTGCCACGACGAACAATAAAAAGGAACTCGATGTTTTAGCCGCCATTGAAGCACTCGCAAAACAGGTAAGCGAATTATGTGCTAAACGCCCGCAACGTTCCCGCTCTAGGTCACGTAACCGTTCAAACGTGGAACTGACTAACGGCAAAGGATGGTGTTGGTATCATAGCACTTATGGAGAAAAGGCTGCCAAATGTAAGGCTCCCTGCAAGTATCAGGAAAACTCCAACGACAGTCAGTAGCGGCGGCAACAGACTGTCCGAACCCGAGCAGCCGCCTGTTTGTTACAGATCAAATAACAAAACGCCAATTTTTAGTCGACTCCGGTTCCGACTTATCTTGTTACCCTCAACGGCTACTACGGGAACGACGCCATGCCACCGATTACGACCTCAGCGCGGCCAACAACAGTACCATAAAAACTTACGGGACGGTCCATCTCAATTTGAATTTAGGACTTCGACGCAGTTTCCCGTGGAGTTTTATTGTCGCCGACGTGAGTACTCCTATCATTGGTTCCGACTTCATGGCATACTACCACTTGCTGCCGGATTGCCGTACCAAACGTCTTATTGATGGTGTCACAGGCTTGGCTGTGAATGGTAAGGTTTCCTCTGTAAATCAATGCAGCATAAAATCAGTTGCCAACACTTCCCCTTGGGCTGCACTTCTCGCAGAATTTCCGGACATCACACGTCCCACCGGATTGCCCAGGACAATAAAACATCAAACAGTGCACCACATTCTTACGACACCTGGTCAGCCAATAGCCTGCCGCCCACGCCGCTTAGCTCCAGGTAGACTAAAAATCGCCAAACAGGAATTCGCGGAAATGGTCAAGGCAGGTACCGCTAGACCTTCAAGCAGTCCGTGGTCTTCACCATTACATTTAGCACCGAAAGGGGAGAACAGCTGGCGTCCTTGCGGTGATTACCGCGCGCTGAACGCCCGAACTATACCAGACTCCTATCCAGTCAGACACATACATGATTTCTCGCACAACCTGGCTAATTGCACGCTATTTTCCACAATCGATCTGGTAAAGGCTTACCATCAAATACCTGTTAATCCGGACGATATATGCAAAACAGCCATTACCACTCCATTCGGACTTTACGAATTTCCTTTTATGACATTCGGATTGCGAAATGCTGGACAAACTTTTCAACGCTTCATAGACGAAGTTACCAATGGGTTGGACTTCTGTTATGCATATATTGATGACATTTTGGTATTCTCTAAATCGGAAGAGGACCACAAACAGCATTTACGCACTCTTTTCGGGAGACTTTCTGACTACGGTGTTGTCGTTAACCCGCAAAAATGTGTATTAGGTTCGGCTGAGGTGAAATTTCTAGGTTACCTAGTATCTTCTGAAGGCACCCGCCCGCCACCGGAACGCGTCGAAGCCCTACGACAGTATCCATTGCCAAAATCTATGCAAGGATTACGCCGGTTTTTGGGAATGGTAAATTTTTATCGCCGGTTTATTCCCAAAGCTGCCGACCTGCAAGCACCACTTCACGGTATTCTCAAAGGCCCGAAGACAAAAGGTTCCCAACCGATAGAATGGACTCCCGAGTTAGAAAAAGCGTTCACCACATGCAAAGAAAGTCTTGCGACCGCTACTCTTTTAGCACATCCTCATCCAGCCGCACGACTTGGACTATTCACAGACGCATCTAGCCAATCTATCGGCGCATGTCTGCAGCAGCGAGTCAATAACATCTGGCAACCCATAGCATTTTTTTCAAAGAAAATGTCGGTGAAACAAAGTGCGTGGCCTGCGTATTATCGTGAGTTGCTTGCCATCTATGAATCGGTGAAGTATTTCAGGCACATTGTCGAAGCACAACCATGTACCATTTTCACCGATCATAAGCCACTCGTATATGCTTTCACCCAACGGAGAGAAAAGATACCTCCTACGCAACTCAACCAGTTGACATTCATATCCGAATTCACCACCGACATTCAACACATTAAAGGTGATGAAAATATCGTCGCGGATACAATGTCACGCATTGAAGTTGTGTCTCTCCCGCTGGACTACCGAGCTCTTGCTGCATCTCAAGACACGGATGATGAACTCAAACATTTTACTGACAACAATTCATCTCTTCATTTGGAGAAGGTACTAGTGCCAGGATCTTCAGCCTATATTTATTGCGACACGTCAACGGGACGCCCACGACCATTTTTGCCACAACGATTCCGGCGTCACGCATTTGATCAGTTACACAACCTTAGTCACCCCGGTGCACGCGCAACAGCTCACTTAGTTTCAGAACGATTTGTGTGGCCAGCAATGAAAAAGGATTGCCGTTCCTGGGCACGTGCCTGCGTCCACTGTCAGCGATCGAAAATAAGCCGACACGTCTCAGCCCCACTGGGAAACTTTGAAACACCTTCACGCCGATTCAAACATGTTCATGTCGATATCATCGGTCCATTGCCGCCATCACAGTCCTTTAGGTACTGTCTGACGGTAATCGACCGTTTCACCCGTTGGCCGGAGGTGTATCCACTCGAACGTATAACAGCAGATGATGTCACTAAGGGTTTCCTCAATTGCTGGATTTCACGCTTCGGAGTACCTCAATACGTTACGACTGACCGTGGTACTCAGTTTGTTTCAGCTACTTTAAAAACTTTAGCAAAACGTTTTGGTTTTACGCTTCGCCCCACTACCAGTTGGCATCCTGCTGCAAACGGATTCGTCGAACGAATGCACCGACAACTAAAGGCAGCCATCATGGCCCACGCAAAAGACTCGTGGACTGAGTCACTGCCTATCGTGCTTCTCGGAATACGTTCTGCGTTTAAGGAAGACTTAAAAGCCACGTCTGCGGAACTTGTTTATGGTGAGCCTCTTAATCTTCCTGGTGATTTCTTCACAGACAAGCAAGATAATAGCAGTACGAACGACCCTACTAGCTTACTAGATCGTCTTCGCAGTGTTATGAATAAAATTCGTCCAGTACCTGCATCTCGCCACTCAAATCCACGATCATTTGTTTTTGCGGACCTTAAGGACTGTTCACACGTATTTCTCAGGGAGGGAGGTGTCCGAGCAGCACTTCAACCGCCATATCAAGGTCCCTACGAAGTAATTGCCCGAAATGACAAAACGTTCACAATAAAAGTTCGAAATCAACCAGTTACGGTGACGATTGATAGAGTAAAACCTGCCTACCTCATGGTGAACGAAAGCACAACCGTTAGCCAGGCACATGCTCCACCAGCGACTGCCCCGGATACGACCAAACAGAAACAACCGCCTAATACCGATCCATCAACACAGCCAGTACGAACAACTCGCTCAGGCCGCCGAGTCAGATTCCCGGACATTTTTGACCCTAGCTAACTCCACTCCGTAGGGGGGTGGTGTGGCGGTCGAATGTTCTAGAATGTTCGGCCGCCGCCGCCTCTAGAAGATTCGTCGCTCTACATAAGCGTGTGGCGGTCGAATGTTTTAGAGAGTTCCGCCGCCGCCTCTAGAAGATTTCTCTGACTATTTAAGGGCAAGATCGTCGCTCCAGTCAATCAATCGATCAGTCAATCACTTACGCACTCTGTCTTAAACGCGCTTCGTCTCTCGCTGTTATTTGTTATTTGTTAGTTCGTTGTAATATAGTATAGTTGTTATTAAATCGTAAAAGTGTTTATTACTTCTATATATATTACACCTCGCTACAATTTCATCTTGGATATGTTTATAAGAAATATTTTAATATTCCCTCCAAATTATATCTTCATTTTATATTTATTTCCATCATTGTGGGCAGTGTCGTCACTAGTTTTTGAGAGATCTTGGAAATTTATTACCACCCAGATGAGGTAAATTCTTTTATCTTCCTTATTTTGGGTGTAAGGGTGTTAAGACTTATTTCTGTATATTTCTGACAACTAAACATGTATCCAAGAGTGGTTCATTTTTTTATTAGTAAAAATATTCCCAAAAAAGGTATTTTTGAAAACATCATAAACGACCTTTAAGTGTTGAAAATAGAAATCTTGTATGGAAAATCCATATAGTTTTTAGAACGTTGAGTAGTAAGGAGATTCAGCCCTTCACTAGCCTCCTACTTTGACTTTATGTACACGGGGATCTGGATCGGTGAACCTCTCTTGGTTAAGCCATTAAGTAAAACAAAATAAAATGTTTATAGATAATACTCTATACAATAAACTTTCTATTGATATATTTGTTTGAAAATTCGATTAATAATAATATAAGTAAAATTAAAATTTTAATGTAGCAACATGTATAACTTATAAATATTATCAAAGTTTTAGCTTCGACGTAAAGCTAAGAAGGTATTCATTTTTTAATAGTGTTGTTTTTTATTTTGTCTATTGCCTCTTTTTCTCAGCTCTCACCGAACCGATTTCTTTCAACGTTATATCAAAATATTACGAATCGCATTTAGTTGAAGACATTGCCCTAGAAAATTGAAAAACTTCACTCGTTCCTGTAAATGGGGAAACCCTCCAAAAAATGTTGATTTTTAAAATCGGTAAACTTTGACTTGTTTTTATACTGCCATGACATTTTTGAAAAATGAACGAAACAAATTAATTTTTTTTTATATAATTACCTTAGGTATTTTCCTTTCATTTAATACAAGTTTTTTGAAAACCTGACCCTCTACCTACCCCTCACTGGTACGGGGTTTATAGAACTTTTTAAACTTAATTTTGAAAATGTTCCTGAAATTCCCCGAGCTTTAAAATTTGTTAAATTAAAGCTTATATTGCATACTATAAATTAAAAAAAAAATATCTTCTCTAAGTTCTATCTTCTATGAGTAAATGGCTGTCGTAGTTAAAAAACATGCAACTTTTGAGTTCAAATTATTATTTTTTGTTTATTTTAAAAGAAGGGTTTGCCATATAATGAGGCCACCGATTTTTATAAAAGTTACATAAATTTAACTTACATTGAATATAAATTTAAACGGATTTTTAATACCTTACCTCTTTTAAGTAACAAAAAACGAATTTGAAATTCTTATTCATATTAAAATAATTTTATTATACGTTTTTTTTTTGTCTGTCATTAAATTTTTCACAGCTTTAACTTGACCAATTTTTTTCAATGATACGTCAAATGTTGAAGATATTACCCTTGAAAATCGAAAAAAATGTCCACTTTATCAATTAAAAAGTTACTTAGACCACGTACTCCATATAGATAGTTAAAATCATTAATTTCTTATGTTTTTAAAGTATTTATTGTCAAATTAGGTTTGATAGGTTACAACTACAAAATTAAATAATTTTAGTTCTTTTTTATAAATTGCTTAATTATGGTACACTACCAATCGATACCAATAGATTACTATAATCAAAATTTTGTACATTATAAGTGTCAAATTTTTTTTTACTGTATAAGTCATTTCTAAAAATATTGATAAATAAAAAATAAAATTTTTGGTTTCATCTTATTTTATAATGGATAATAGATTTTTTTAACAACTTTTTGATTGGTTTTTTATAGTTAAAGCAAATTATTAAAATTAATTAAGTTATGAACATTTCAATTTTAGAATATTTTTAAAACACCACGAGTTACATATAAATGATTACTATGATTTCTAATAAAATTATTTATTATAATAAAACTAGTGATTTTAACGAAATATTGAGTTTTTCTCATAAATTGTAAATAGTAATTATAAAATTTCCTGACTGCATACTAATCTTAACAATAATATTTTTTTATTTAATGATATGGATTTTAAGTTTGAAAGTTAAGATAAAAAAAGTTATGTTAAATTTGTTTAACCATATTTCATTATAAAGTTTCATAAAAATCAACTTAAAAGGACCAAAAAAATAGGTTAATAATGACATTATTTATTTTAAATATATTGAAATAAAATGTAAGAAATGTGCTTTAAGTTTTATTGATTTTTCTTCTATGATTTTCTATCAAAAAAATAAAAATATATGTAATTTATAAATGTATTATAATTTTATATAACACCAAACTAGACACAATGTACTCATATGAGTGTACACAGGGTATTTTAATAGTGCTTTAGATCCATTCAGAAATATTGATTTGTCTGATGAGTGGTTAAAAGTATCCTCTTCCTTCTTCTCAAGTCAAGAGATTGTTGAAGTATTAGAACATTATTGTTTTCATTATTGACAGGAAATTTAAATCCGCAAATATTTATGAATATACTTGATAAGTTATGTCATAATTTATGAGGATATAACAGAGAAATTAAATGTTGCCGTATAATTTATAAGTTTATAAATTCTACGGCAGTAGAATAGAATGAATACCATATTTTTATAGTTGATAAAATTAGAATATACAGAAAAATAATTTAATTAATGATAATACAAAAAATAAACACTTATTAACATTATTTTCTATTAAACATACTTATACACATATTTTAATTTTACTAAAATATTTTGACAAAAATAATATAACTAAAAGAACAAATTAATCATTTTTTACCAAGTAATCATTCTTACTTAAAAAGAATACTGTGAAAATATGTTGTTTTACTAATTTTTAGATTGATGAAATGATGTTGCACAAAAAAGTTAAGTACTTCAAAAGAAAATTTAAATTTAATATTCCAACACCAAAGAAATTTTTTACAAAATTAATTGAAACAAACCATCAATATTCAATATTATCAAAATAAATAATTTAAGATATCACAATCATGCTTACATATTAAATATCTATAAAATTCATGCTTCTGCTAATATATTAACATATAATAATTCTACAATAAATCATTTAAAAATGAGACAAAAATATACACAAATATATAAAAATCTTTACTTAAATTTAGTAAAACAATTCTACCTTAGGATTAAATAACGACTAGAAATTTTGTTAATAAATGAAATGCGAATAATCAGTTTAAAATGTCAATAAAAAATTAAATAATTGTATAAATTTTGATTTTTATACAAATGACAAACATGCTATATAATTGAAAATTATTTTTTTTAAATTAAATAATTAATATTCAACTTCTTGAATCAACAATAATTTGAAAAAAAAAAGAGTTTATAAATACTGTTTAATAGCAATAATAGATAATATATATAAATAAAACTAGGACTATAGTTAAAGCCAGAAATTAAAGACCAAGTTTAGAAAAATAAATTATTTACAAATCAAGTAATGTTAGAATTACAAATTTTTCCAACGCAGATTTCCTATTTTTGAATTTAAATTTCTTTTGTAATAACATTACAGCAACTTCTTGCAACATTATAGAAAACAAAAATTGGGTATCCTAAAAAGAAAATTAAATTTTTAATATTATTTTTGATAATTTAAATATCTAAAGAAGTTATTGACTTACTTCAAATTGATGAGGAGAAATATTGAAAATTTCTCTCAATGCATAGTACATAGAAAGTTTTTGTTCCGGATTAAACATTTTTTCATAAAGTATATTAGCAGAATGTAAATATTTCTATAAGAATGAAAAATTTTATTTTTTAATTTTAATTTAACCTGGATGAATGAAATTACTAGAGAAATACAAAGAGAGGTACTGTGGTGCATGTTGTTTGCTGATAATATAGTGTTAATAGGAGAAAATTTATCAAAGGCTATCGAGAGGTAAGAAGATCAGCTCTTGAAGGAAAGGGATTAAGAATAAGTAAGAGTAAGACAGAGTATATAGATTATGAATTTGGCAAAAGAGAACATGAGGTAGGTAATATGAGTAGATCAGTAACAATAAGAGAGGACATATTAGGAAATTTAGAAAGCTTTAAGTATTTAGGATCAGTTGTGCAAAAGAACGGTGGAATTGACTAGGATGTAAAACACAGGATTAATTGCAGTTGGTTGAAGTGGAGAGAAGCGTTGATATGTTATATGATAACAAAATTCCAATGAAAAAAGGTAAGTTCTATAAGCCTGTGGTGAGATCACCTATGATGTATGATTGGGAGTGTTGGGTGGCTGTCAAGAAAGAAAAGCAGAGAATGAGTGTAGCAGAGATGAAAATGCTTAGATGGATGACTAGAATGACTAGGGAAGATAGGATAAGGAATGAACATATAAGACGGAGTATCAGTGTATGGTTAATTGTGAATAAGATGAGTAATAAACAGTTATAGAAATGAATGTTGAAGGAAGAAGAGGTAGAAGAAGATCAAAAAATGAGATGGAGGGATGTTACTGAACACAAATTGAGAATGGCTGATGTGAATGTAGATGATGTGGGAGATCGTGTCAAGTGGATGTTTAGGATAAGGGTGACCAACCCTAAGCAGTTGAGATTAAGGAGAGAAAAAAGAAGAAATAAAACCTGTTATAGTGTGATTTTAATTTATATGGTAAAATTTAAACACAATAGAAATTATTAATAATCCAACAAATTCATAATACTGTTTCCAACATGCATGTTAGTTTTTTAAATGTTAAGTATACATATAGCTGGGTTTTATAGAATCTTTTTAGTCTGAAGACTTCATATCTTTATATAAAATTAATTTTGTACTTAAAAGTCAACATGAACTTTTTGATAAATTTGCATAATTTTTAAGTTAATACTTTATACTATTATTATAAATATTTCATCATAAATGAATGAGAAATTAATTTTTATAGCTTCTAGGCATTTCAAGCATTATTTAGTTAAAATGAATTTATTTTATTTATATTTTATGAAACTAGTTAATATTAAATTTTAAATAAGATTATTATATTTTCATATTTATGATTCCATCTTATTATAATTGAAATAGTCATTAAACATGTTAAATTTTTTAAACAAGATAAATTTTTTATACATTTTATGAATGGAAGATTTCATTAGAATAGAAAATATTCATTATTATTATTTTTTTTTTTTTGTAACAACTTTATTTTTGAAATAATAAAAATTTTAAATTGTTTTAGGATTGAAAAATTATATAATACCTCATTTCTATTTTTTTAATTTTCTTATTTGAATATTTACCTTATCAGGTGGCTTCTTTTTAATTCTTATAAATTCATTTTTGTGATTTATGATAAATTTAGTTAAAGCTTTATGTGTGATTTGTTTCATTGTACTTGCTCTGTTGGTAAAACAAAAATACTTAAGTTAAAAAATTATTGATAAATTAAATGTATATTCTAAATCAAAGAATGTCACTAAAATATATTGATATTATATTTAGCTAAAGTTATTTTTAAAACTTATCAAATACTATGATGTAAATTTACAGGTGAATCTCTTTTCCCAAACCAAGAACAACTCGAAAAAGCAGTGCATAAGTAGTAGAATAAAACTTTATTTTTATTACAAAATTATTGAGCAATTTTACAATCAATCTAAATGATAAGAGTCATATTTGTATATAGTTTTGTTACCATTCTATTTTGAATTTGGCTAGTTACATAATCTTTATGGGTAAACATAATTTGCTTTTTGTATTTCCTGAAACTATTGAAAATTGACCTTGCCTTTTTTTTTTTATAAAAAAATGTTTATTTATGTTTAAAAATTATTCAATTTTATTGGATTTAATTATTAAACATACTATGTAACCTTTTCTAATTAGTATTAAAACATTGTTAACTGACATTGAATTATAAGCCAATTACAAACTTATGCCAAAAATAAAAATACATATTTTTCAATTTTCTAATATGTTATAATAAAAATATAATATATTTTCTATCATACTTCAATAAAATAAGCTAAAATGTAGTTTTTTACATTAAATCCCACTGATGATAGATCATAAAAATAGTTTTTTGAAGTTTGTATAATTTTTTTCTTGTCTTGTATTAAAGGATTACAAGTTAATTTTTGGAAATTAATTTTTTCAAATTTCAATTTTCATTAGACATAATTGAATATTTATAATTGATATAAATTTTCTGAAAAAATGCTGAAAATTATACTAAAGATTTAGAAAATAACCATGAAATTAAGTATGAAAAATAATAATTTGAAAAGAATTCACACATATCTCTAATAAAAATTCTTAAAACAGAACAATCTATAAATAAAGTTTAGTTTTTGCTTTATGTTGCTATACATTTTTGAAAAAATATATACATAATATATTCAAGTATAATTTTTTGATGTATATCTTAGGAATTAACTTTTTTTAGTATCTTAGATAAACATTTTTGAAAATAATTTGTTCATAAATCTATGGATTATTTTTAATATTTTTGTTTTACTTTTTACCACTATCTTTTTTTTTACAAATCAGTGTCTAAAACAATAAACGTATTGTGCTTTAAATATTTATCTCTAGGTTAAAAATTAGCCGCATAAGAATCAAAATCCTTAATAATTCCATTAAGTTTAATTATTTAAAGACCTACTAGCATTCAGAAAAAGCAACAGTTATTTGGAATATAATACAAATAATTAAAAATAAATTAGATGTATTAAAAAAAAAATACTATTTAGAAAATTATTTCTCAAATTTATATTACTTACATAATATTTAGACTTAGTTCTTCTTTGGTTTTAGTTTTTTTTTTAATTTTATTTTCTATAAAAGAAAAAAATTAATTTAGAGTAAAAATAAGAGATATAATTATTTTTATATGTTATAGTTACCTTGACTACATTCTTCTTTTTTTGGAGAACATAATATATAATCTATAAATGTATAAATATGTAAATAATTTTGTATACAGCTTTCAATACATATGTTAAAAATCTATTATTATAGACTTTATTTTATAAAATAAAAGTTTTCCATACTATCAATTTGATTTTTATACGTAAAAATGATCAAAATCATGTTAATTATTAAAAATTAAATTATATAATGTATTTTTACATCACAATATATATATATATGTAATGACATAAAAATAATTTGAAGAATAATAGAAGTAAACACAGCAGCCAAGATAAAATATTGTTATCAAAGTCAAGGCAGTAGGAAAAATTCAGTAAGAAAAGTATATTGGTAATTGAGGTAATAAGAAAAAAAAACTCATAAATTTCTTAGCTCTATCTTTAAAATTTAATTTCCTTATAATTAAATTGTCGAATACCTGTATAATTTGGTATGCTTGTAGGATCATCTATTTCATTCTCAACAATTGGCCCAGCGCCTAAAAAAGTGTTTAACATTAATAATATTAAATTTTATTAAAATTTAATTCAAAAATATTTTTTCATACCATAAGCAAGTCGTTTTCTATTATCAAGAGATTTATTCTTTGGTGTTTTTAATATATATTCTAATAAAAAAAATACACTTGTTTTATAAAACCATAAGTAAAATTATAAATAAATATATACCTGAATACCGCACTTCATATTGATCGATTTCTGGTACTATATCACAAAATATATTTGAGGAACTTGAATAATTTTTTTTCATAGTACACCAGTGAATAGGTTAAAACGTACATCTTTAAAAAAAAATGCATAATATATAGATATTTTTTCTGTAATAATATAAATAAATCAGCCATTTTAAAACCAATATTAGTCACTAATTTTTTAAGTAATAAAATTTAATTAAAACTAAGACTCGGTACTTAAAGCATTTATAAAGTTTATTTTAATCATCAATGATAAATAGATAATCGTATTTTTTTTTTAAATACTAAAATTTTAATAAATGTAAATGAAATTATTCAATATCGCTAGTTAATAATGCTAGTGATACAACCATATAAGTCCATGATTTTTAATATTTTAATGGAAACCACAGTTATATCCAAATTTTTTCATTAAAAAAAATGGTGAAATATTTTTTTCAAAATTAAAATTTACTAAGTATTAAGAAGATAGAAATCATTTTTGTACTGAAAACTGCAAAAATACTATATTTATTGGAAATTAACAAAAATTATTCTCTGAAATAGTTAGATGTATGTAATGTAGATGTTGGTTGCAACACCAAACCCTTCAATTATAGTAACTTTCAATTTTTTTAAAAATAGTGGTTATGATTCAATTGATATTAAAATTACATCAATTGTTCTATACTCCAACAATAAAATATGATAATAATAATTCTTTATGAAGTATTATTGAGAAAATATTTTGTCCTAATTTTTTTCTTACAAAATTGTAATAGGTGCCACTAATATTTAACTAAAACATTAACAATATAAAAAAGAGACCATAAAAAATAATTTTTTTTTTTGTTTCCACCATTTTACAGTAAAAATGCATTTAAAATTGTTAACTTTATAAATGATAACACTTTTTGCATCACACTAGGTTTCGAAAAAAAATTATAAATTTACTTCATATTTAACTATAAATTAATGTTAATCATTCACAAAAATGTTTGTTTTTAATTTTGAATAATACTTTAATAAGTGATAAATGAAAAACTCACATGAAATGCTTTGATATTAATTTTTTTTGTAAACCATAATGCATTAAAAGTTTTATTTTTATTTTCAAGTGTATGAAGGGGTTTAACAGAAGAAAATGTTATATAATATATAAACAACTCATCATTTGTTGTATTATCAGATAATAGAAATATTAATTCAAACAAAAGCATATATTTTATTTTTTTCAAATTGTATCATTATTATTATTAGATAAATTAAATATATATAACGTTTTACTAATTTTCAAAATTTGAAAAATATTAAATAATAATGAAAATTTTCCATAACTAACTTGAGTTTATTATTAAAAAAGAAATTGTTGAGAAAGATATACTGAAGTAAATTGTTATTACATCTTATACTCATAAATGGTTATTTCTAAAAAAAATAAAATTAATAACTAAATTGAGTAGATGTTTACTTCAAAATTCACTTAATTAAATATCAAATTAATAAACTGGCATGCTTAGATATATACTTACAGTTAAATAAGTAAATTTGTATCAATCAGCAAGTAGTACATTGATATATTAAAGCAAAATACTAATCTAAATGTTAATGTCATATTTATTTAAAAATTTTTTACTTAAAAAAATAAGTAAAGTATATTAATTTAACTAATATACTATTTTTACATAAATTAAATTTAAATTCTAACATTTAATCAGTTTAACTTAAGTGCAATTTTTTGTTGTTAAATATTACTGTTAAACTCAAAATTGTTTGTAAACAATAAAATATATTAGTAATATTGTTGTTTATGTCTTAATCAAAACAATTGGTAGTATGATAACATAATCAAAGAGTTATAAATATTATCACTGGGATATTTCACAAGTCTTGACTATCACAAGTCAATATAACGAAAATAAAAAGATTTAAAATTATGTATTTTTGGAAATTATAGCAATTCATCTTGGTTCGTCAAATAAACATGGGTGCTATCACGGATGATATGAGAGATAGATACCCTATACTATTATTTCAACAAATCCCAAATACTTTATGTGTTTCGTTTTGTCTGTAATTAAAAAAGATACAAAAAAATTTAAAAATGAATTTCAAATATAAATTGAAAATTAAAAAATTTAGATAATATTTATATTTATTTTAATAATGACTATAAAATACATATTTCGGGAACAATGTTACCATCATCAGCACTAAACATATACTGACACCCTTACTAAAAAATACTCCCTTATATACCTATAAACCTACTAGATAATCTTCTCTGGGTGATAATTTAGTTAAGAACTACATGAACATCTATTGAAATGGAGGTCAAAAGTGTTTACAGATTAGTTAATATTTCAATGAATAAAATAGAATTTAATAAAGAAATAGCTAGATTTAATGTGTATGACGAGAATGCAATTTTAAAATTAGTTCGAACACAAAAGTGGAAGAAAAAAAGGAGGGCAGCTAGTACAATTACTAGCGTGAGGGAAAAAAGTAATTAAGTCGCCCATTATATATTATCCAGGAATTTCGAATGGGCTAACTAGATTTTTAAAAATTTTGGTATTACTTATAGTAACATCTTATTAATAAGGTAACCCTAAAGATAAAAAGAAGAATGGGGAAAATAGGACACTTATGAAGTACAATGTGAGAGTTGTGATGAATGTTCCGTAGGAAAAACAAAAAGAGACATAGGGGTTAAGTTTAAAGAACACTTAAAAAAGGGGAAAGGAAATATTAACATAAAATATTGACCTTGTTTTTTAAATGTTTAAATTTCTTCCCTCTAATTATTATTATTTTTATACGTATACACAGAGTAATTTCATGATTATGTGTAATACAACACTTAAAAAAATAAAATAGATTTTTCTTTCAAAAATTTGAGCATTTAAAATTGAGTCGATAGAAATTTTTTAACAAACATATGTCACAGAATATACAGAATGGGCTTTCATTAAAAATGTATGTAGTAAATATAGAAAGGTGATAAAATGATAATGTTTTTAAAAAAGAATGAAAATTGTTAATACTTTATCAAACGATATTTTGTTGTTCTTCTTCTTGAGTCCATCTTCCAAAAAGGGAAGTATGGTGACCCATCAATTAACGTTGGCAACAATTTTTCGAAAACTCAAGGTTTTCTGCCGATCGGATGGTCTCTCCCAGAGGATAGCCAGTGATGGTCTTGATCTGATCTATCCAACGCATTGGTGCTCTTCCACGACTTCTCTTACCATCGATTATCTGCTTCACGAAGCTCGATCCATCCTTTCTTATGATGTGGCCAAAGAATTTTAAGATCCTCTGCTTACATACCAATGCCAGTCTTGTTTCCACATTAAGCATAGTCAGAATTGATTGATTGGTCCTCCTTTCTATCCATGAAATTCTTAACATCCGTCTATAAGCCCACATCTCAAAGGCGTTTATGCGCTATACATCTTCTAATTTGAGTGTCCATGTTTCAGATCCATAGAGCATTACAGAGAAGGTAAGTGTCTTAAGCAGTCGCAACTTGCTGTTTCTGAAGATATGTTTCTTTTTCCAAATTGGTATTAGCCTTGTTAGCGCGAGTCATTATAATATTGTATTTTTATCTGTATTTATCTGTTCCGCATGTGTTTATTGTAGTATGGATGGTCAGTGTACGTTCCACCGCTGAACCATCAGCGACACGCTCAAAGTCACATTTGTATTTAAATATTTTCATTTAAGTTTTAATTATAAATAAAAATAAGGAACAAATATTTTGTAAATTTTATTTACTCTTGTTAAATTTAATATTTATTACATTAATCTCAGAATTAAAAAATATCGAACAAATTAATCTAAGTGAGCGTTCGATTCATTATCAAGAATACTTCCGCTTCAAAAACAAGCTTGCTAACTGCTTCCCATCCCAGAGTCATACGACGCCTAATCTTCTTAAATGATCCGCCATCTACTTGTACAATTGAACCTAAATATGTAAATATGTAAAGTGGTATGAAGATAGATTTCACCCAGTATTCAGGCCATGTTCCTGTGGTCCAGACCTCTTTGCATATTTTCTCTAAGATCTTTACTCCCTTATCTCCTGATAGTTTCAGTATTTTTACCGTGATTTCATCTGATCCAGGTGCCTTATTATTCTTCAGTTTTGATACTGCCTGTTTAATTGTCTCTGAGAGAATTCCAGGTTCTTGTTCACCATTAGTGATTCCTTTGCTAGTGTGCTCATCTGAGTGTGTGTACAGCTTTTGGCAGTAAGACCTCCAGTATTCCAGGACGCTGCTTGGATCTGTCTGCACTTTTCCATTTTCATCTTTAATAGCCAATCTCTTTAGCTTAAAATCCCCAGTAAGTTTCTTAATTTCTTGGAACAGTTCACGTGTATGGTTCTAACCTTTTTTATGATATTGCTATCACAGTCACGGATTGTTTATTATCAATTATGACTATCAATAGATATACTTTTTACAATACAGTTAGTGTATTTATAAACTCACAACAATGTACCTTACTATCATTGATAATAACAATGCTGTATACCTGCTAATATCGATGTCATAAAAAATCAATTAGCTACCTATATTTGTAATCCCTTGTGTATTATACCTAAATATTAACTCAAAAATTTGAAACTTTGAGTGTTTATATCTAATAAACAAATTAAGTTTCATTAAAAATTCAAATGCCATTTACTATTGAATTAAAAACTCAAACATTTTATTAAATTAAAAATATGTGTTACCATTTAAAAAAACAAAGTTGACCCCCTTCCAAGGCATAAGGGATGAACTTAAAAAGTATTACATAGTTAATAATTCAAGAATAATGTGTAACTAAAGATAGTAAAAAAAAAAAATTTTTAAATTATTATTATTCTGTAAATAATTGAGTGGTTTATGATAAAAAAATCACCCTGTATAGTCTTCTTAGATGGTGTTTAAAGAGGGCGTTAATTATAACCATGGATGTACTCTGGGAAAATTCGATCAGTTAATCTCCGCTTTCTGGTTATATTTGCTTCAGTGCAGCCTGTTCCAACTTTTGCGTTGAAGTCACCTTGAATGATGGTAACTTCGTTTTTGGGAGGTGTGATACTGCCTCTGCTAAAATGTTGTAAATTCGTCAAAATTCTTCTTCCTCGGCAGCTGATGTTAGAGTGTAGACTTGTACCAAATTTAGTTAATTTGGTGTGTAATTGAGTTTTACCACAATTATTCTATCGTTGACTGCTATATATTCTATTATTGAATGGGACTACTTTTTGTCCACAATCACAGCCACACCATTTTTAGAGTTAATACCATTTCCTGAGCAAATGATCTGGTTTCGGCCCGATGTTTTATAATGTCCTTTATCTCTCTAGTGGGTTTCAGATAAGCCTAGGATTTTAATGTTATACACCTTTCTATTTTTCTTTCAATCTGATATAATTTTCCTTGTTGAAGTAATCCTCTGATGTTCCAGGATCCAATGAACTGTGGTTTGCTGATCACAACACGGCCTGTGGCTTCGCCTCTCGGAGATCTGATCGGGGTGCTTACTCCAGAATTTAATTTGGTTGCAGAAAACATCTTTGGGTTTTCTTAGAAAGGGGTTAATCAGGATAGTTTCCCGTTGCTTTCCCTGATTGCAGTAGCATATTTTATTTCTAAGGGATACTACTCAAACGTAAATAAGTAATTTACGCTTGATACTAATAGCGCTGCTTCCTATTACTAGGTCATTTTTAGTCGGTTCTTACGACAGGCATGTACTATCGAGGGTGCATTCTAATCTCCATCCACAATGAAAGATATTTTGTTACAAGCAAAAATTAAGATAAAATTAACTGGTTGTGGAAACTAGGAGTGCAACTCTATTATGTTATAGTAATTCGTGAAAATACATGTAAAATAGTAGATGGTGCTGTTTCTTTAAAATTTCCCCTTATACGAGAAATGTATAACAAAACCGAATCGCCTGATTGCCTCTTGTCGATTTTATCTTAGTCCGTGATTACAGATATAGATTTATACTAATACTAATAATACATATATTAGTATATATCTATGGTTATAAATTATTATACTGTTTTATTATAGCCGATTACCAGGTATGATAAACTATTTCTATGTGTTCATATCACGTACTAAAAAGGTTAATATGATGATATAAGGTTAATTTTTTGTACTATTACACAAAGACAATAAAAATTTTTTTTATTTTTTTACATCATATTAATAACTTGGAATAAAAAATTTAGCGTCACAATTTTTCTTTTAATTTCCTTTAAGAGGACATTTTTTAAATACTTAAAACAGGGCGCCTAGCATCCCCTCTCTTACTTAAGGTCCTGAAGATATTGAATTTATAAATCCTCTGATTTGTTTTTATTGTAGTTTGTTGATAGTGATTTAAATCTCTAATGATGTAAATAATCACTTACTAAAGATTTTAATTTCGATTTATTGATGTGGTTTGCTTAGTTCTTTTCTTAATAGAAATCCTATATTTTATTTTTAATACTAATTAAAATATATGACAATACCAAATTTAGTGAACATAAAAATATTTATAAAAATTCAATCGGTATTGGTTTTTAATAAAGTAACATGTTTTGTTACTTACAATTGCAAGCCCCACTAATGAAACACTCGACATTCAAAGATAAAGATACTGAATAAATTACACGTTTTTAACTAATTACTAATATAAACTTATATGAAATAGTTTAAGAAATAGTCATATTTCACGAAAACCACGTGTGTTTTTCTATAAAAAATTATTAGATATTTTTGTTTATTTTAGTTTTATTTATTAAATAATTTTTACTGAAATATTAAATCATATAGTTATAGGTAAGTTTTATACAGTATCATTTATTGAAAATATCACCTCCACCTCATTTGTTTTTCTTATAAGTATACAGATGACAATTTGGTTTATTTTAAGAAAAAAATAGTAAATATCAAGTGTATAGTAAAAATAATTATTGCTACGGATAGATTTAAGGATAACTTGTGAAAGTAAATGGGAATCTATTATTATATGTTTACTATAAAATGGTGAATGGATTAAAAAAAAAATTTGTCTGGTCGGTAACTAGTTTTGTAATATTACTTTTTAAGTTAATATTATTATTGTGTGCCATAGTTATTTATTACGTAGTAACTCTGACACGTGCGCAAAGTAGAAGAATTCTTATCTGAATTTTATTTTAAAAATAAAGTGTCACTAACATTACTCTGCTCCTCACCTTTTCTAAATTTTTAAGTGTTAATATCTTCATTAATTAATAGTAAAGATATAGTAATAGATTTCCATTTAAATTTTGAAAGTTATCTCTATAATCTTGTATACTTTTATGCAAAAACCTTATATAAAAAATCTTATTAGACGAAAAAATTGGGCTTAGTATTCTTAATAAATCACATTGTATTGGACATAATGTTTGATTAACATTTGAAACATTGTAAATAGTATCTTTATTAATTGGAATCATTCGGGATAAATTAAAAAAATAAAGTAAGATTTCCATGTTAAAATTTGTTATTATTTTTATTTAACTTTACATATTGTATATCTAAACATATTGTATTCATTTAGTAATGTAAAAAATATTCAAAAAAATAAAATTTTAGAATTGAGAATTCGAAAATTTTAAATTAAAGATGTATAAATAATTAAGAAAAGATTTAAAAAAATTTATGTTGTTTTTTATTAATTCAATTAAATAACTACATTAATTAATTGAAAAAATAATAGTAATCGATTTCAAATTCAACATTTGAATTTCGAATTCAGAAAATTTAGATTATTAAATTTAAGGAAATTTGAATTTTTTCCATCACTAAATAATATAGGGGTTTTGAAATGAAGTAAATATATTTATTGACATTTATAATTTTTTTATTCAACTAATAACCATGTCTTCTAAAAAAAGTTGTTATACAACATTTTTTAGCTTCGATGCGAAGCTGAGAAGGTATTGGTTTTACTATGATGTGTTTTTTTTTTTGTGTCTGTTAACACTTTTTCTCAGCTCTCACCGAACGGATTTCTTTTAACGATACGTCAAAAAATCACAAATCGTATCTAGTCGAAGGCATTACCCCCAAAAATTGAAAAACTTTCCCTCATTTCCCGTAAAAAGGGGGAGCCTCTAAAAAAAATTACAAATTTAAAAATCGCTAGTTTTTTCAATTTTTTTTATTTAAAACTGCCATAACTTTTTCAAAAATGTACAAATCAATAAAATTTTTTTTAGATGCTTAATGTCTTTACCTACCATTTGATGTATTTTTTTTTATAAATTTGACCCTTTACCTGCCCACAGGGAGGGATTGAAAATGACAATTTTTTTCACAAAAAATTAACTTTTTCAACTTAACTTTTGAAAGTGTTCCGGAAATACTGACACATTTATATTATACTGACACATATATATTAAATTAAAGCTAATGTAATCTACTTTAAAATTAAAAAAAAAAAATTCTGTCTTTATTTTATTTTCATGATGAAAATAGCTACCGTATTTAAAAATATGTTATTTTTGTGTTAAAATTCTTGGTTTTGTATTTTATTTTATTATAAAGGGATTACACTGATTTTCATAAATATTATATCGATCTAATTGACATAGTATAAAAAATTAAACATATTTAAATTTTTTTGTTTCTTTGGAGTCGAGAAAAATAACTTTAAAATTTCAACTAGCTAAAGTTACATTTTAGCTTCGATGCGAAGCTGAGAAGGTATTGGTTTTACTAAGATGTGTTTTTTTTTTGTGTCTGTTACCACTTTTTCTCAGCTCTCACCGAACCGATTTCTTTCAATGATACGTCAAAAGATCACAAATCATATCTAGTCGAAGACATTACCCTCAAAAATTGAAAAAAATCCCCTCGTTCCCCGTAAATGAGGGAAACCTCCAAAAAAATTACAAATTTAAAAATCGCTAGTTTTTTCAATTTTTTTTACTTAAAACTGCCATAACTTTTTTAAAAATGTACAAATCAATAAAAATTTTTTTAGATGCTTAATGTCTTTACCTACCATTTGATGTATTTTTTTATAAATTTGACCCTTTACCTGCCCACAGGGAGGGATTCAAAATGACAAATTTTTCACAAAAAATTGACTTTTTCAACTTAAATTTTGAAAGTGTTCCGGAAAGTCTGACACATTTATATATATATTAAATTAAAGCTAATGTAATCTACTTCATTATGTAAAAAAAAATTTCGGACTTAATTTTATCTTCACGGTGAAAATGGCTACCAAATGCTATTATTGTGTGAAAATTCTCGATTTTATTTTTTACATTTTTAACTTTATAATGCTATGACATATTGAAAAGTGTATGGATCAACATTATTTTTTTATGAGAAATAATATTTTTTAATAATCCCTTTTTCATTCGACATACTTTATCTTAAATAAAATATTAATAATGAACTAGCAGATCATGTAGCTTTTGGAATAATCCACCAATTTTTTAAAATTAAACACTATCTAAAGATTTGCATCGAAGCGTTTTTTTTTTATAGTGATTTTAATCACTGTCAGATATCATTATACTTGATCCATCTATGCCACGTTACCACTGTGCCGCGACCCCCCTGTGTTGGGATTTTATTAAGTAACGATGCGACGTACGGTTTCTGAGACGGTAACACTTGGGTCTTTCACGCCTGTGGCACTGAATTTTTTCTTAATTCTTTTTGGGTTAGAAAAAAATGTTTAACTCATTTAGATTCAATAACTTTAATAAATATCTAGGATTCCATTACTGTAGTCTCCTCTCGTGAGAAGAAATTCATATTAATATTATTTTACTATGTGGTTTTTTTTTGTAGCTATCATTTATTTTCTCAGCTCTCACTTGACCTACTTTTTTGACAAATTTTTTTTTTTAATTAAACACTATCTATAGATTTGGATCGAAGCGTTTTTTATGATAGTGATTTTAATCACTGTCAGATATCATCTATACTGGACCCAACTATGCCACGACCGCACTGGGCCACCACCCTGTGCTGGGGGGATTTAAAATGGCAACTTTTTCAACTTAACTTTTGAAAGTGTTCCGGAAATACTGACACTTTTATATATATCTTAAATTAAAGCTAATGTAATGTACTATATTATGAAAAAAAAAATTTCGGACTTTAATTTGTTTTCACGGTGAAAATAGTCATCAAAGTTAATAAAAAATGAGGTTTTTTGTAAAAAAATTCTTTTTTATATTTTTAACTTTATAATGCTATAACTTTTTGAAAAATGTATGTGTCAATATAATTTTTTTTTATAGATGCTTGATGTCTTTACCTATTATTTGGTATATATTTTTTATAAATCTGACCCTTTATCTGCATTTTTATACATGATTTACATTTTATAAATACTTACATTTTCATATAGTTTCAAATTTAGGCGTTTTACAAAGGGTTTTGTGGTTCAGCCTCTTTTAGAAACTAAACGTAGGACACTGGGAAAATACTAGCCATCTAAGTGATATTTTAGTTACATCTCAAATATTTTTCAAGGTTACAAATTAAATTGAATACAAATTTTTTTTATAAGATAAAGTTTTATAACCCTCTACTATGCATTTGATAGTAATGATATATTCATTAAGTATAAGTATTATTATTCTTTTTTAAATAATATATTGTTTTTGATTTTTCTAGGAATCGATTATATTTGTTTCCTTGCAAAATTTTGAACTAATTATACATTTATAGGAGAAAAATATAATCTTATGTAAAAATTAAGTTGAAAATTTGCTTAATATTTGTGACCGTTAACAAAAAAAATTAAAAAGTAAAAATAAGTTTCCCTCAAGAGCAAACATATTTTAACCGCGTAAATGTCAACATTAGCTGAACTCTTGAAATTTTCGTTTAGCGTTTGTGTATCAAAGTAATCATGACAGGTATTTTATTTATATTCTATTACAATTTAATATCTAATAATTACTTACCTGATTGAAATACTGTACAGATCTATAGTTTACATACATGTATATTTTTGAAAGAGTTAACAACTTTTTTACATCAAGATATGAGAAATTTTATATTACTATTTAAATTTAAATTATTTAAAACATATAATAATCGCTCTTAAAATTATAATTAAATCTAAGACTGTTTTCTAGGCATATATTTAGATTTTAATAATGCTATCTTTTTAAACCCCCTTATTCTTACATACAAAATTCAGTGTTTTTGAGGTATCCCTCATTTTTTATGCGATCCCCGGTGTAGCATTTAAATATTTTACACCCTCTGACGATTATATAACAACTGATGAGACGTATTTAATAAAGACTTTTTAGTAATATCAAAAAACATGTCGGCTGAAAATAGAGGGAGACAATCGTTTAAACTTACGTCCACGTTTTTAACTACAATCTTTTTCTTTTTCTTCGCTTTATTCCCAACTACTTAGGGTTGGAAACCCTTATCCTAAACATCCACTTGACACGATCTCCCACATCATCTACATTCACATCAGCCATTCTCAATTTGAGTTCAGTAACATCCCTCCATCTCATTTTTTGATCTTCTTCTACCTCTTCTTCCTTCAACATTCATTTCTATAACTGTTTATTACTCATCTTATTCACAATTAACCATACACTGATACTCCGTCTTATATGTTCATTCCTTATCCTATCTTCCCTAGTCATTCTAGTCATCCATCTAAGCATTTTCATCTCTGCTACACTCATTCTCTGCTTTTCTTTCTTGACAGCCACCCAACACTCCCAACCATACATCATAGGTGATCTCACCACAGGCTTATAGAACTTACCTTTTTTCATTGGAATTTTGTTATCATATAACATATCAACGCTTCTCTCCACTTCAACCAACTGCACTTAATCCTGTGTTTTACATCCTAGTCAATTCCACAGTTCTTTTGCACAACTGATCTTAAATACTTAAAGCTTTTTAAATCTCCTATTATGTCCTCTCTTATTGTTACTAATCTACACATATTTCCTATCTCATGTTCTCTTTTGCCAAATTCGTAATCTATATCCTCTAACACTTTTTATTCTGGTTCAAGTGCTATGATACATAGCCTCTATTTTATTAATGTACCATTTCGGGTGTTCTGTTCTCATTAATCCCTACTTTAAAACTTCTCTCATACGCTTTCTCCAAATCTATAAACGCCATACACAGCTTTTTCTTCTTTTCTCTAAACTTTTCTATTAGTTGCATAATAATATATATATATATATATATATATTAATTTTTATTTAAAATGTTTTTAAACTAACAATAAACAAATAATATATTAAACTTTTTTTGAACTCTAGACTATAATTTTAAACAAAGATCAAGATCACGATCACCAATTAGGTTTGATTGTTATGCAACTGAAAAGTTTTCTAGACAAGTACCTGGACTTAGAGGTAGGTTAGTTTATACAGATCATACCAATTACACTTATATTCAAAACCAAACTTCAACAAATCGAAGGTTAGCACTGGCCTACAAATAAAACAAATTTGAATAGTTTTGAATATAATAATAATTTTATTTTTAGACAATTACGATGTACACGATTTGAGAGGGGCTGTAAAGCTACAGCATCTATGATGTTACACCCAGAAAATTGCCCAATAATTTTATATAAGCCCCACAATCATCAACCGGAGTTTGATGTTGAAATTGGTGAATTTTTGGATAAGTTAAGAAAAAAAGCAGCAGCCGAAGTAACACCCGCCCGAATGATTTACGAAGAAGTTGCTAGAAAGTAAATTTAATATATTTGTACAAAAATAAATAAAATTAATATACGTTAAAAGAAAAATCATGTTATGTAATCAAAAACTTAGATAAGATAAGTTAAATAAAAAAGTTACAATTGTAGATTTATCGTAAATTTATGAAAAAAGTGGAGGGGCTATGACAACTGTGGTGTCTAAGTCCCTTTGAATTATGCCTATGATAATAATTTGGGTGAGGTAATGAAATGATTTTTAAAAAATGTTTCATATTTAGTCGTATTTTTTTTGAAGAATTTGTAAGGTTAATAGTTGTAGAAACTGAAAGTCATTAATACATTTTTAAAATCGCTTTAAAACTTTAACCTAACTAAAATTTTACCTTATAAATGTTTAAAATCCTAATTATTCAATATATTTTATTACTGTTAAATTAGGATTTTATTATCAAATTTTAATTTTGAGTAAGGACTCAAAGACGACATTTTCATATATTTTGGTTTCTGTGATCATTCTGTCAATTTTTTCAAAAAAATATATAAATGAACAAATTTATTATATATAAGAAAAATAGTCAAAAGACAAAGTTTTTTCGTATGCAATCCGTGGTTGCAATAAGTACATCTATTATAACTTTTAAATTAATTTTTAATGAACTGAAAAGGTTGAATATCACTCTTTTCTATTCATAACTCCTGATAAATTACTTATCATTAATGTTCCTTAACTTGGATAATTTGCGTTAATTCTGAAAATTTAATTATCAAAATTAATAATTTATAATGAGTTATTTTTAAATAATACTAAACTTTTTTATTGTTAAATGTTTTATAATAATAATTGCGTTTTTTTTTCACATTACTTAGATATCCAAATGCTACTCTTCAAACTTCAACTGAGGAATGTTTGAGGTTGATATCTCGTTCTAGACAGCGTTTAAGTCCACCCTCACCAGCTACATTATTTGAAATGGCTGAAACAATTTTGTCTCCCACATGGGAAATGCGACTAAAATATGTTTTAAATGATATGAATCTAGTCCAATTCTACCAAGGACCATTAGAATTCATTGAAAATGGCAAAACTTTATTCGGAGGATTAATTTTTACCAATTTGGTATATTTACAAAGTAATGCCCAATATTTCCAAAGTTTCAAAGTAATGTTAATTGACGGCACATTTGGTGTTAAGCTAATAGAACCAGCGGAAATAGATCAATTGGTTACCGTACATATATTACTAGATAACATTGTAAGAATTTTATAATAAAAATCAATAGATTAATACTTTTTTAATTTCTTTATTATTTATATAACTAAAATATATCATTATAAATTTTCAGTCTGTTCCTATTGTGTACGCACTTCTAAACCAAAGAACTGAACGAGTGTACATAAGACTTATGCAATATTTAAGATATGAATTGAAAATTAACATTGTCAGTTGGACTAACATTGAAATAGTAACAGATTTTGAAATAGCTCTGAGAAATTCTATAAGACGAGTTGTTCCCGAGGCCCGATTAATTGGATGTTTATTCTACTTTTCTCAAGTATCAAAAATTTTACCTACTCTACGAATTCAGATATATAATATGTAGTAATATAAAAATAAGCAAGGTGTTTGGGTATTTTGACCAAGGTTGAATATTTGGGGATTTGGTCAATTCAGGAGCAACGAGGTTCTATCGGGGTTGTAGAGTCCAAGGGTTTTGAACAATAAAGACAAGTAGATATAAAAAGAAATTATTAAAGTTCCTCTTTATTGAGGAATAAAAAACTGATTAATTGATAAGCACCTTTAATAGGACACTGAGGCAACGAGCGGTAATCCGACCCACGAATACCCAATCGAAGTGTCTATTAATACAGTCAGATACACAATAGGTTTTTACACTCTTTTCAGGCACGGGGCGGTAATCCGACCCTCGAGACTCTGTAATATGTATATGTATAAAGTGCGAATAAATTAGTAAAATTACTAAAGAGAATATTGATCTATTGCTTTACCATTCTTTACTCAGATTATTAATTCTAAATAATTGGGATAATATAAATTTACTTACTTCTTTTAGGTAGCTTGTATAAAGATCGTTGATAATAAAAATATTAAATATGTAACTCTTTCTTTTTATTGAGCTATTTTACACACACGAAATGTATATAATGTATCTTTTCTAATAATGTCTAGACTCAAAATAATTATATTTTAATATCGTGTTAAAGTGTACCGACGACAACACTGGGTCGCGGCTAATTAAGAAAGATGCACTGGACAAGAGAGTTCTTAATTCTATATTGAGTTCAGAACTTCAAAAGTAAAAAGGTCGCTTTTTCTGAAATTCAGCGCCTTTTTATATTGTATTTTAATCATCCCTATCTTGGGATGTTGTCGTCAGCGTTTTTAGTGATTTTCAGTTAATTGTGTTAAAGTGGACATAACATGATAATTATTTTAAGATATGATGCATAATATTATAACAATCACTTTAACACATTTATACATATATAATAGCTAGTATGGCAGTGTATATGTTATGACAGATAAATTAATTATTTGTTTATAAAATTAATATAAAATACAGATTATATATTTTTTTCGTTGATAAATGTATGATGCGTAATGCAAAACATTAGTCATATTACAACAAATATATTAAGTTAATTAATATATTTAAAAAAAAGTTTAATTAATAGAATAAATACATGAATTTTTGTTTTAGTATACTAGAATTTTGAGACAAAAATAAGTAATTTCATTATCTTACTAATTACTGTTAAAAAAATAGTAGAATAGGAAATATAAAATAATATTTTAAAGTAATAGTGAAAGTAGCAACATTTTTGTAAATCAAATTAATTTGACTAGGTACCTATTCTCTCACTAAAAGCAACTTTTGATTTCAGGCTATAGTAAAATTTATACAAACTCATAACTTCTTCCAATTAGTGATAGAAAATTCAAATATAGCTAGTATAATAAAATTGGTAATTTAATATTTAAACTATAATATAATTAGAATCATTTGCTTATTCTTTAAACTTAATCCTCATAATTTTAAAACTGAATCATAAAAAACTTATACTTCTATAAAAGATAAAGTTAATACTTATTATGAAAATTGTTAATAGATTATGGCTCTACCACATCTGCCTCCTAAAAGGTTAGATGAAATGCCTGAAGATTTCAATATCATTGGAGGATTTCAGGCAATTCAAAAGTTGGCAAAAGATATGGAAGTTTATAATCTGATAGTTGAATTTTTTGAATATTTTGAAAGATTTTGGATAAATGTAATTGAAGTTAATGGTTTTTCAGTTTATGAGATAAGTGGCAGAACAAATAATTATATAGAAAGTTTTCATTCTATATTAAAATCTAAAATTGGCTTGGGTCTACCATGTTGGACATTTTATGGTAATTTAAAAGTACTATGAAAGTTGTGAAGTCTTACTTTTATTATATTTTATTTGGGGTAACTTCTCTAGAGAATGAACTTCGAAGAGTTTTTCAACTTTTAAAATTCTTTAATAATTTTATATTTTCATGTGACAATCGTATTGTTAATAAATATTTGTTCTCTGGAAAATTCTTTATAATAATGTAGAAATATTTATAATTAACTAAGATATAAATTTTAATTCATTATTAAATATTAAAAATGGGATTTTTCTTGTGGATGAACAGATAAATATTATATTAGGATTTCATTTGAATATTCTCTTTGTTGTAAAAACTGCTAGCAACACCTTAATACAATCAGATTAGGCAAATTTTTAGTAAAAAACTTAGTCGTATTATTTCACTAGTGATGTTAATTCATTAATGATGTTACCCTATAAATTATTATTCCAGAAAAATTGCGAGGTGTTGAAAATCGGGTGCGCAAAGAAACTCAGCAAATGATAAATGGAAAAATTGTAAAACTTATATTACTACTTATTGTAGTATATTTTCAAAATAATAATAGTTCTGTATTTATTTTCAGGTACGCAGATCAATTATTAAAAATAAAAAGGACTCACGAATTGTTGAAAATGCTATCTTAAATGTTAGGAATAAAAAATATGATTTAATGGAATTTTTAAGAAAAATATCTTTCTACTCCTATGGTTATTGGAATAAACAAATACCTTCAGGTAAATACTTCATTTATTTATATAAGTTATTATTTAACATTTTACTTTTTTTTAGATAATTTGGTTTCTAAACTAACACCAACAGTGATAGACATAAGACCTCATGACCCATCCAAGTTTCTTTCAGAACAAAATCTGCAAGTAGGAAGAGGAAAGGGAAAAGATGTCAAAGGCAGGTTTGATTTAATAAATAGGGGTAAAAAAATTAACTTAATATTAGAAAAAATATTATTAACCTGAAAATTTGTTATCTAGATGAAGATGCATTAGTCAGATTAGAGGAAGTTATAGTACCACATGAAAGTAATACATTTCTTAAAAAAATTATTTTATTATAAATCGTAATTAAGTTAAAAATAAGGAATGACCTAAGAGAACTTATAAATATGGGTTTAATCAAATTATTTTAAAATTTTATTTTCAAATTATGGGTTAATCAAACTGTATTTTAGGATTTAATTAGTGAGGTTAAGTTAAATAGGTATTTAAATAGCTTGAAATGTTTATAGATGTATCTATGTTTTCAGTTATAAACTGATGTTACAGATTCATTGCAGAGTCCACCTTCAGGGTGATAGTTACAGACACGTGGTTGTAACTATAATATCGGCTTAGCCTGTTTACGGTATGTTTTTATATTAGTTGATAGCTGATAATGTCAATGTTGATTATCTGTTGTTACTTTTGTCGTGTTGTTGTTGACAATTGTCAGTTTGTTGTTTACGTCCGGTATGTTTTTATTGTTGTTTACAGTTTCTTGGCTCTTCCTTTCCTACACCGAAAATTTTCTGTTTTGTTAATTATAGTTTTTTCACACATTAAGTAATTTTCTTTTTGCCTGGTATATGATAGGTAACCAAGTCTTTAAAGTACAAAGAAACTATAGAAATCGAAAAATGTCCAGAAAATTACAACAGAGAAGATAATTTTGGTCTATTAGCAAGACATGGTTACCTATCATACACCAGGCAAAAAGAAAATTATCAAACAACAAAGAAAAAAACCTTTTATTAACAACACAACAAAAATAACAACAGATAAATAACATTGACGTTATCAGTTATCAACTAATATAAATACATTTCATAAACAAGTTAAGCCGATATTATAGTTTCAACCACCTGTCTGTAACTATCGCTCTGAAAATGGACTTAGCAACGAGTCCGTAACGTCAGCTCATAACTGAAAACATAGATATATCTGTAAACATTTCATGCAATACGACAATCGACAATAGCTCTAACACGAGTTTTTTTTATTTTCAACATTTTTTATTTTTTATTTTTTTAAAATGTTAATCTTAATTCAACCATTGCAGAACTAAATAAAAAAAATTCATAAAGTAGATGTTAAATATTTTACATATAGTCCTTATAAAATAATATTTAAGTTTATTTGACATTTAAATAAAGTATTAATCTTGATATTAGTATATCTTGTTAGAATTTACTATTTTATATGAGTTCCTGTTTTGAAGAATAATAAAGGTGAAAAATTGACTTTTTTCCATTTTTTCTGAAAAAAAGTATATATTCAGTACAAAATTAGTTTAAAATCATTGTTGTAAAATAAAATTACTGTCTTTATAATATTATTTTTTAGATAATGAAGAAATTATAATCTTGGGAATTGAAAATGTTATGTAAGATAAAGTATGTGAAAAAGTATCTGTACACAATTATCAAAGTTTTGTAGAATAGCCGTACAATTCCACGATTAAATAACACAAACGACAACAGTTTTTAAAGTTTTGTTTTTTTATTAAAAACTTAATACTTACCTTTCAAATGTTCGTTGCTTTTATTTAACATCTTTGTATTATAGTAAAATAATAAAACATTGAAATAGAACCTTTTGGTCATCAATTTGCGAGTTAATATACAAAAAATAAAAATACTTATTTGCTAAAAAAGTATAATCTAACGTCATTAAAAAAGGAATTATTGAATACATAAATAGTAATTAGAGGTGAAAAGTGTTACTGAAGAATGATAAATAGTATTAAAGAACATAATTGCAAAGTAACATATTAAAATCATTTTTATTTCACTTTTTCTGAATACTAAATTAAAAAAAGCAAAGTCTAACACTTAATTTTAAATCTTTGAATATAAATTTTGAATTCAATAAATATAATATATTTTTAATATATTATAATAAATATATATAGATAAAACATATTCGTAGTAAGTTTTACTCGTGACCATTAAAAAATTAAGTCATCGAAGTAATAATATTCTTTGCAAATACTAACGAAGTTGATATAATTCGGGACATGACTTGTCGTAGAACTGGTATTATTCTAAAATTATATACATAATACAAATAATAGTTATAAAAAATCAGCAGTGCACCAGTGGGGTTAGGAGGTTGTAACCCTCCCGAAATGATTTGCGTTGTTTGAACATTTTTAGTCACGATGCCTTATTTTCTTTGCTCATTTAGTGATTCACAGTAAAAATATTTTGATGGGCAAAGAAAAAAAGTAATATCAAGTACAATATAAAATGGTTATCTTTAGGGTATATCCTAAAACAATTTATTCTATCTAAGACACAACCCCTTAAAATTAATTTAGATCTCATAAGATATAAATTAAAACTTTATTATAGGGTAGTGGTTGATTAGATTCGTATTATAGAGTCGCATGTTGTTTTATAAACATGCGTAATATGTCAAAGTTACATTAACGTGGTCTCAAAAACAAATGAGCCAATTACTACACGATGCATTTCTCCAAGTATTGTTACACATTACAGAGTTCCATAATGCGACATTGAACATAGCACACGATCGTGTTACTTAGAATAACGTTGCGTTCCAGCTAAGGACCTTGTTGTGGAACTGCTTGAAAGAATAACTATGGCGATGAAATTTAAGGAGTTGACTTTTTGAATGAACGATTTAAGATCTCAACTAGACGCCCGGCAATTTATGTGGTACTATTTAGGCGTTTTAAGCGAGTACCGTGTCCACTAATAGTACTGAAGAGTTATTGCAAAGTAATTAAAATGTATTTACGATTAAAATTAAAATAAAAACAATTTTTCTTAAACTTGATAGTATAACTTTAACTAATATGTTACAAGCGTTCAGATTGAATACATAGCGTGTATTTTTTTATTATCTTTTGTAACAATGTTAAAAAGTACTCCACATTTTCAACATTTTATTGCCCATCCGTTGTCACATTGTATGATTTATTAATAAGTACCACTCAACCGTATATTTATACTTCATGTTTTTGTGTAAGAGTAAAATTAATTAATATGTTTAGTATTCAATAATAATTAATTAGTTTGGGATTAACAGAGAAGTGCTCTAATAACGTTTACTTATAGCTAGAGTTTTTTAAAAAAGATAACTCATATTTTTGCGCGTTTTGCCAAATCTTAGCTTTTAAAGGGCTACGGCGGTAAAGTTGCCGTATCTTATATGTTTTAACTAGGGTTGCATTATCATGTTCGATATGAAAAGTCCAAGGTCAAAGAAAAATATGTGACAAGTGTGTAATATTTTATGTTAATTCGGCTAAACCATTGTAATGAATTTATAAGTATAACTCATTGTAACTTTTCAATTTTTCATAAAAATGTAGTTGGGAGATCAAAAAACTTTTTATGAAATGTTTGAAATAATTTTTCATCAAGGTATAATCAATTTCGGCTACTATTTTGCATATATTAAATAGTTTTAAACTAATAAATTATTTGTATATAATGACCTTGTGTTATTCTTGTATTTAACTTTGTTCGTGTATAACATTGACACCATACCGTGTTTCCCTCATCCGCATATCACGTTATCAATTCACATAAAAGTATTTAAGAATCTGAATTATAAGTGCACGGTGGCCTGATATCAGGTTTGTCTCAACAATGTCTTGGGTCGCAGGTTCTGATACCGTACTTGTGGCCTTTTTTCACATGATTTCCAATATCATATGAATTACAACTTAATGATATATTTTGTAAATGTTATACGATTTTTAAATTAAAATATACTCAAAACATTATAGAGTAATAGATTGAAAAAAAAATTGCTTTAGATAAATGAATGAATGAAAATGAAAAATAATTTAATTGAATAAATAAAAAAATATATATACACATAAATATAAAAAAACGCAGTTTTATTAAAACACCTAATTCGATTTAATAGTAAAGCTGAAATACATAATTAATCCATAATAAGATCACTGTAAGCCAAATCCCAATAATGCTCCACTCCATGCTTTTTGAGTTGTTCACGAGCCAATTTTTCAGAAGCACATACTTTAAACTTAATTTCACCAAAATTCCGTTGTTTTGACATACCCTGTAAAATGTACATATCAATTACCAACTATATAGTTACTATATGAGTCACAACTTATTCAATTATCTCTTTGTTGAGGATATTTTTTAAAAAATTATTGCCTCCTTAGAATTGTTTAAATTATATTTTTAAATTTCTAAACAGCCTTTTTTTAGCTTTTACCTTACAACATTTTTTATGAGTCAATAACAAATTTAAGTAAGATAAGTTTTCATTGAGACACAAACTTTTTAACACATGGAGTGAATATATAGTGCAGGTAAATGCAGCCAGTACAGTTTTATATTATGTATACTCTATACCCACTTAATGTATTAAAATGCTTGTAACTTGACAGGTATTAGTTCTAAAATTGTTATCAACGCATCAAAATTTTTTGTAAGAAAAAGTCTAAAAAAAGCTATTATAAAAAATAAAAATTTAAAGAGATGATAATTGAATAAAGTTACAGGATTTTTTTTTATATCTTTCTTACTCTAGTCTTTAGTCCAGACTTTTACTCTAGTACATAGTGTTTTGATAAATCTAATAATTTTGTTCCAGCAAATATTTTGCTATTTAAATAATTTTTTAGCTTTTTATTTTATAAAAAATTGTATGTATAAACAACAACTGAGTGTTTTAATATATAGAACGGGTATGTAGCACAGCTAGAGTGCACATATGTTAGTATGAGCTATACCTATGCTACATATCTACTTAACATATTAAAATATTTGTAACACATTAAGTACTTATTCTTATGTTGTTATTGATCCATACAATTTTTTTGTAAAAAAATGGCTATTTTAAAACTTAAAAAAAAAAAAAATGATTTTAACAAAGTTAGAAATTACATTATTAAAAATAACTCAACATATTCCTTGGATCAACAATAAATACAATTATCAGACATTGTGATCAACTCTGTAAATGGATTAATTATTTTTATAAAAAAAATCAATAACACATGTGTAGTTTTTGTTTTAAAGGAATTTTATAATAAATCCTAATGGATATTATAATTTATTTATTTTTAAATAGACATAAATAAAAATATATTAAAATTCTAGGTAGGAGAATTTTATTAATGTAATTTAACTAGTTTTCACTTAAGTGTTTTGCAAAAAATTTAATTAAAGAGTACAGCATGTCAATTTATTTTGCCGATAAACAATATAAGTTAAAGTAATAACAGATATTTTATACATTGTAACAGATAATTAATATATATATTACCTCCCAAACTAATGTACATTTATTGTTAGATTTCGGTTCAAATTCATCTTTGGTTTTAATGATATCATCTTCCCATTTCATTCTATGTAACATCAATCTAATAAATTTAATAAATAAGATCATTAAAAATTTTTTTGTAACACAATTGCAACATTCAATGATACAATACATTTTCAATCATTAGGTATTTGCTTATTAAATACTATGGTTTTTAAAATGATGTACATTTTACTAAATACCAATGAAAAATTCAAATTAAAAAATTTGTATACCTTTTGTACTTTTTTTGTTGTTTAGGACCACCTTCAACAATTACAACATTACAATCTTTGCATAAGATTACACAACCAGTCATAAAAAGCTGTTTACTATTTGTTTCTATTTTAAACTTTTTAGCAGGATTAGATAAATCTTTTATTCTATAAATTTGAAAAACATCAAATAAATAACAATAATTAAACTATAAAACATATTTGAAAATGTTTTTTGTTCAACTATAATTACCTATAAATAGCTACATTTACACCTAAACTAGTGTCTTCCTGAAGTTTTTTAATTTTTTTCTCGCGTCTTTGTTCTGGATTCAATCTTCGTGAGGCATTTGCCTCCTCATGAGCTTTTTGTCTTTTAGCCATTTGAGCTCTTACATGTGATTCCATTTTTGTTGGATCTTGAACAGCTTCTGTTCCTAATACTCGCATTAAATTTGAAATTCGAAGCTAAAATATGTAAAGCACAAATAAATTATTATGTAGACAAAAATAAAATTATCATTCAATATAAGATTTTTGTTGCTCACCTTATATAGGATTTAGTAAATAAATAGGGCTTATTAAAAACATCAAAATTATGAAAAATACATAAATGTCTTAATTAAAATTTATAAATAATGTAATAAATAAGTATTTTTTATTCAAAGTAATTTTTTAAAGGTTCAAATAACACAGAAAAAACTGACCAAATTTAATTTGATTATATGTTGTCATAATTGTCAGTTGTATAATAAAATTATAACCTGAACTATGATACATTTACTATAAATTTACTTTTGGTTCAGCTGGAGGCTCTAAGCCAAGACGGATTTTTTCTTGTTCTTCTTTCCAAGTTTCACGTCTATTTTGCCGACGTAACTTTTTTCTTTCTTTTTTAGTTAAAAATACAGGCATGAAAACTGGTTTTAAAGGATCACCTGTAAAATAAGGATAATGTAATTAAATCAATAATTTAAATTTAAGCTTAGTATTTTAAATGTGGTATATTAGTTGTATTTTTATTTATTTATTTGAGCAATATTTTAAGTAAATTAAAATTATTAACTATTTATATAGGTAGTAACATATGGTATGCTTAATAAATATGTAAAATATGATATCGACTAGGCTGAACAACAGATAATTTCCAATTTAAATGGTAAAATTTTATACTTTTTAAAATATTATTTATCGTGGCCTTTTAAATTCATATATTTCTTTTTAATCAAGTAATAAGTCATTTTAGGCCTATCCCTTGTACATTATAGAATATATTATCTATAATTTTTCTTAAATTAAAATTATTTTTCAGTAGAAGAAATAAATGTTTCAAGAATATCAGGAAAACAAATTCAGTCAGAGTATGGTCCTTATATTAAATATGAGCCTGATAAAGTGCATATTCCTAATAATTTAGATAGAAGACAAATTATTATAACTAAAGTGTCAAGGAAGATGAAAAGCAAACATGAAAATGTAGATTGAAATCATAAAATTTGTTGATAACAATTAATAATTTATGTTAAAATAGTCATATTGATATACATATATTTGATATTGTGAACTATAATAAATGATATGGGCCCGATGGCTGTATTGCGAAAATATTTCTCAATGCATTCTATAGTGTAATGTCCATCCTTTATACTTTATAAGGGTATCAACTTTATTTTATTTTTTTAATGGAAACATAAATATTTAATTAGCTTACATGTAACATTACAGTCAATTGATAAAGTAATAGTTAATAACAAATTTTGAACATATATTTTGGAAGTCATTAACATTCAAAACATAGATGATGGTGAAGAACAAGTTATAACTATTTTTATTATTAAGGATTTTTCAACTGCACCTTGCGTCACAAATTTTCTATGTAATATATATATATATTTAAAGTAATAGTCCATTATTTGTTAGTAACCAGTTATTTTTTTAAGCAGTTAATCTTTTAATATATAAAATAGTTCAACATATATCTTGCCATTAAAAAAAAATTGATGTTTTTATAAGACATAAAGAATGGACCTTAAAAAAACCTAATAGTTAATAAATTAAGAAATTTATTTACTACCCAATTGATTTTAGAATAAAAAGAACCAACAAAAAAATTCTATCATCAATTGTATTTTATATATAATTATTATTTATATATACACAATGTGGGTGACAGAATCACTACTATATAAGAAGGTTCACCTCTCTAATAACTAAAAGTAAAGCTATATTTTTTATTAAAAGGAATAAATACTTACTAGGAGGCCTCATTTGCAAAGGATGTTCTACTAAATGTGTAATGTTACTGCGTTTAAACTGAACTTCTCCACTTTCACTTAAATAACTTTAAGAAAAAACAAATGATAATGATTAATAATTATATACCAATTGTCATAATGAAATATAAACATACGTAGTTCCATCTAGAATTACACTATCCCACCATTCAACATCAGGACAGTGTTCTGTAAGTTGTTCTTCTTTTGGAACTAATAATGCCATTTTAGTAACTGACGATATTCCAGTTTTGCGAGCAATTTGTGAAATTTCATTTTGTAATTTTTCTAACTGAGCCTATAAAATGGTATATCCAGTAAATTATAATAATTTATTTAAATTTATGGAATAGTAACAGAGAAGCTTATAATATATATCTCATTTAAAATGTTTTAAATTTAAAACAATATAAATTATACTATACAAATAATAACAATCAGGATTCTTTTCTTTTTTAATAGATTGCTAATAGTAAACAGTAGCAACATTTTTAAAGTATTAAATGTTTATGCCGTATAAAGGTATTAACATTACTTTTTTAATGGCAGCATACATAAGTAATAAGCTTATATAATTTTTTTTAATTCTCCCTCTGTATATTTATTTTTTATTTAAAATGTATAATTTTTCTAAAAATATGAAGGAGCTAATTGATACAGATATTTTCTAATGTCTATGAAACTATAGTGTAGGGTTACACAATACATAAAATAAATTTCAACAAAAATTAAAATGGAACTGGTAGGTTTGACTATTTTATTTAAATATTTTTTATGCGTGGGATTTATTACAAATATATTATTATTAAAAATATATATCAATTACTAGTGAATCTCACTAAATATATTTAACAAAAAAATTAACATAATGTTAAATTTTAGAGGATACTCTAATCAGTTTAGTCTCATGATGAAAAAAGGGGGCTAATGAAATAGAATAGGCATTAAACATAATGGTACTGTGTCATAATATTAAAATTTGATACGTTTCATAATTATTAACAGATTGTTTAGTTATATTTATTTTCAACCTAATATAAATACAATTGCTGAAACTTTATAAGACTTTTATGAGATCAATCAAACATCATAAATTATTATATAAAAATTTTAAAATACAATAGAGGATAACTTTTACGTATAGCCATAACTTACAAAATATACTATAGTCTACAACTATAATACATTTTGTTAATTTCACAAGATAACATAATATGAGTACAAAAGTTTAATTGAAGTTGTACTTAGGCAATTATATTTTGCATTTTTACACTGTAAAATATTATTTTTACATACCTTCATTCGAAGTCTATCAGCTATTTGTTGAAATTTTCCAGGCTCATGAAATTTTAAGGATCTCTTAGTTCGAATATTAGTTTTCATGGTCAATCGTGGATCATAAAATTTAATATCCGAAGAATCATCAGCTGTTTTGTCAGTAAACGTTTGTTTAAATTCTTCTCTTTTTTTGGCTCTTATATTTGCTTTTAAAGTTGGAATAACTTGAGTTAACTGAACTTCTTTTCCAGTTATGTCAATTGTACGTCCTTCATTATCAAGTATAAGAGGGGTTGGTTTTTCTGATGAAGAATTTAGGGTTTTAGGAACACTTGGAACAGTTTTAATAAGGCCACTGGCTAGTTTTTTTTGAATTTGTGCCTGAAAATTAAAATGATTTATAAAAATTGTTTCCTATATATTACATTGTATAGTAGCCATACATTTTTTTTACATTAAATATTTCTACAATAATAATCATAATAAAAATATTTAAAAAATTGGAATTTTTTTTTTTAATTTTATAGAAATAAATATAATTTAGCTAAAATTTTTTTATTAAAACAAACCTGCAATTGAGCAATTTTTGCTTGTTTTTCAAAATCTGTTGTTAGTTGATGCTTTTTATCTTTATTATTAGAAGATTTTGGCAGTGATGGTATTGATAAAGCTTTTTTACGTTCTTCAATCATTTTCTGAGCATTAACCATCATATCTTTAATCTATATGTATCATATAACATATTTATTTAAGTAGATTTACATTATATAAAAAAAAATATGCAAACCTGTCCTATGGAAAGGTTCTCATCTTTAATTGTTATTAATTCTTCCTTTTTGATACGCTTACTAATATTTTCTTCATATTCAGCTTTTATACTTCTTTTATTGGTTAATGAAATATTATTATTTTTCATTGTCATTCCTTTTGCTAAATCAAAAGCTTTATCAGTAAGTGATGCTGCTTTTCCTGGATCTAATATGGATGACCTTAACCTATCTGGAAAGATATATATAAATATATAATTTTTGGATAATTTTTTTTTATGATTAATTAGTTCTTACCAGCAGTTTTGTATTTATCATAACCAGAAGAAAAACAATGCATGAGCGTTGTCACAATGGTAGGTTCTCGGAAACCAAGAAATTTGGTGACGGTTTTTTCCAAATAAGGTTTGATATCTTCAACTTCCTTTTTACTGATCTGAAGAGCCATATTTACTACTATAAATTTTTCTTATAACAAAAATACATGAATAATTCACAAAGAAAAATAGTGAATATAATATTAAAATTGAAAACTAAGCTGTCTGCTTAAACGTTTAAAAGCGTTAACTATCTCAATTGAACATTTATCAAATACTGATAATAAGAAACACCGATACAGTAGAGCCAATAAAGAAGACGGAAATTTTTTTCTTTATTTTCAATTTTTCCATTTTGTAATTTAAATGTTTTGACATTACATTTTGTCAAATTCTAACGAAATAATACAATATATCTCATCACTGTCTAAATCTGTAAACTTATCCTTATGTCTATATTTAAATGGTCGTAATTATCATACATAAAATAAGGTCACTTAATTTTTTTAATTATGTGACCTTTTTTTTATGTCAATTATTAAGTTGGTAAAAATAATTTCTTCAAATCTCTCCAATTTTTTTGCTTCTGCATAGCCCTGTGTTCATTCAGTCATTTTTTTTTAAAGTTCCTAGGGAAATTTGATTTTTTATTCATTACATTAGCATAAATTCCTTTATACATAAAATATATATTTATGGAGAAAAACATAATTTTTTTTGAATTTTATAGAGCATAGTCTATTGAGTTTCGACAAGTAACGCTGAAAATTAATTTCAATGATTAAACTGTAATTTATAAGAAAAAAACTTCCTGAGTAATAAAATATATGAATAATTTGTTTAAAAATGTTTCATTAAAACAATGTATTTTTTTCAATTTATATCATTCAATTTTTGTTTTAAATATCAGATGTGCATTTTTTATTTGGTATTTTTAAAAAGATTGTATTGCAATACGCGAAAAGTTTCTCATTTGCAAAAAGATGTTCATTTTACTCATGGTTAAAATTGAATCAACTAAAAAAATCACGCATACATAAAATATTCTAATTACCCGGGAATAATTTAGATTAGTAGTGATGCATACCCTATTCCTTTTTGAACCCATTTACCCAATACTATTTTAAAGAGGATTAATCTAGCCCAATAAAAAATTTTTCTTTAAGTTATTTATATTGAATTAATTAAAAATATCTGTATTCATAATAACTTAAAACAAGTTTAGTATTAAGACAGTGGGTGTTCATGACAATATCATTGTCGGTAAATAACGAGTTTTAAAATTGTAGAAAATAAAGGAGAAAGGTCATTTGAATTTTTTTTATTATTCAGCAATAATGTACATCCTATGTGGGTAATAATGGTTAATGGATTTTGAATGCTTATTCATTTTATGTTTTGGATCGGAATATATGGGATCTTAAATTGAAATTTCATAAATTGGATCAAATTATGTTTTTCAGGTCTGAACTGAGTTTTACTGATATTTATGAGATATAGGAAAAAGCATTTACGATTTAGATTTAAAATTCGTTCGAAAAGTTTTTTTTAGTAGACCATAGAGTATATGTTAACAAAATTTATATTTAATACCTTAAAAATGATTTAACTAAATATGCTTATTATTTGTATGTACAGACATTTCAATATTTTTTACAAAAATATTCTAATACAAATGTGTTCATGTTGATAACAACGTTGTTAAGACCACGGTTGTCGAAAATGTAGATAACCGAGTTGAAGGCAAATCATAGGCTGTATCAACATTGACTAGATCATGTTTATTTTATGTTATAACTACAGCGCTCCGCCTCCAGTAAATGGTAGGGCAGCATTATAGAACTTTTCGTCGCATTATCGCAGCCATGTATAAGCGTGTGTTCGTTTGCGGAGTGTTGTTTTAGCCGTAAAATTCAACTACTCGATTTATTTGTCGATTTGTTTGTGTCTTACCTCCTTACGTATTTTGTTTCATACCTGATAATGAGATAACAACTAAATGAAAAATTAGTGAACAAGAAAGTTTATTATTGTATTTAATATTACCGATGATAATTTGAGATATACACGTTAGTAGCACAATAATAATGATTTTTACGTTCGTATCAAAATAAATTAATCTTGCTTTATTTAATATTTCTTCCATAAATAAAAATTCAGAAACGCTAGTGAATTTACGTTCAGTTATATAGTAGTGTATGTGCGTGTGAAAGCCCGACGTAATTCTGTGTCAGATAAAGAATCATAGTAGCTAACGGTGGCCGACCACCATGGAGAAAAAACCGAAAGAGAAACGAAGGTAATAGAACCACTTAAGTTACATAGTTTTAATATTACGTTATATTCGATGGTTTCGAATGGCATTTTGGAATGATTATCAAAATGTTTTCAAAAATGGACTATGTCCTTAATTTTACTTAAATTTTCGGTTTTTCTCTATTTTTCTTTATTGTTTTGCATTATATTTTATTGAGGTCAACACTTTGATCCAAGTAGTTGTTCCTAAGTTATTCATATTCATATATATATTATGTATAATGAAATGATTAAGTAATATTTTGTACTATATATTAAATTGCATTTATATTAGCTACTTAGATCCAAGGTTTAGTTTGAATCGTTAATGTTATAATAATAACAATATACCAAACATATATTATATTAAATAAACCATAATATAATATTGAAGATAAAAATTAACTGAAATTTTGAATATATAATTTAATTTATTTTGATATAATATATTTTATTCAATAATTTAGCATCAAACAAGAATATTATTATTTTTAAAAATGACTAAAGTATTAATTATTACTATTGTTACATTTTTGTTTAAAATAATTTTAATATTTCAATCTTTCAAGGGAATTTATTGCATTGAGTTATAATATTTTTCAAATAGATTTTTATAAACTGTACTTAATTGGCCTGTTGTAAATCATACGTTTTAATTTAATATTTATTAGAATCATTATTTTAATTAGTTATTATTACAATATTATAAAATGATTTTTATGTTAAATAAAGTTGATTAGGATCAAGGCCATTTAAAAACCCTTACTAAGGAGTCTTCTTAGTTAATGATTAATTATACATATATATATTTACTAGTTGATTATTTTTATAGTACAATTTACATTAATCTATTCAACTGTTTTTTAATCTGTAGTGCTAATTTCTTTTAATTCTGAAATTATGACTACAATTTTTGTAAAATTTTAAATCAATATTTTTATTGCCTCTTCTAATTTATTAATCAAGTTTGATTTATTATTTATAAATTAAACAACTTTTAAAATAATTTATACTTTGAAAGTTGTTAACTTTTAAAGGGGTTTAAAATAAAATCTTAATTTTTTTTACATTTAATGTTAGATGTGATATTATTAGTTTTAATATAGGATAGGTATATTTCTGACTGATCAAGTTTGAGGTTTATGGAATGTTGAATATATTTCTGCCTTGAGCCAAGTAATTAAGTGTGCTGTGTCGTCAGAAAACAATGTAAACCTTAAAATACCATTGAGTCTAGCAATTAATAAAATAATTAGGCTAATAGAGGCTTTTGCTCTGATTTAGTAATACATTGTGTTATCTACATTGAAATGATAGGAGTTTATATGATTTTGAAATTAAAATTTGTAACTAAATTAGAATTTTATATTTTGTGTAACAATTCGTAACTATAAAAGAATCATCTGAATTTTCAATAATATACAATTTTTTTTAATATTTAACTTTGATATCTTATCTAAATAATTTTTTTTTATAAACCTACATCAGGTTAAAATGTCTTTAAAATTTGTTTATATGCACAATTTTGAATGTTCATCTAAAAAAAAAGGTAGCCCAGTAGAGTTGTGGTACATTGTGGACGTGGCATAGTTGGGATAAGTATAGATGATATCTAATAGTGATTAAAATCCTTATTATAAAAAACACTTTGATATAAATTTGTACATAGTAAATTCTTTTAAGAAATTGGTGGATTATTCACCAAAAGCAACATCAAATTCCTACTTCCTTCATTATATCCTGATTAGTAGTTCTTTAATTTATAAGTTTAATATATGATTGAATATTTAATATTTTACAGTTTTAATTGTAGTATTAAATCTTAGTATGAAATTGATATTCAATAATTTAATATTGTAAATTTTACTGAGAAATTATACAAAATTAATAAGCAGTTTTATATTTTGCTACTTTTATAACAAAAAAGATGAATTGTCTGATTTATAAAAAATATATCGAATTACAGATATATATATAAAGTATTAATAAAAAAAATGTATAGATTAATACAAAATTAGTCCATAATTTTTTCAAAAAGTTTTAGAAATTTAAAGTTGAAAAATAAAATATCAATTCAAAAATTATAACACAAAAATTTTTCATGTTTTTTTACTATGGCAGTCATTTGTACATAGAAGATAAGTTGTTAAAACAATTATTTTTTTTTTACTTATAGTACATAAGATAAGCTTTATATTAACATATGTTTGAAGCTCGAAGTATTACTGGAACATTTTCAAAACATGTTGAAAAATTTTTGTGCAGAAGTTGCTAATTTGAATCCTCCCTTGTGATCTGATAAAGGANTCAAAAAGTTTTAGAAATTTAAAGTTGAAAAATAAAATATCAATTCAAAAATTATAACACAAAAATTTTTCATGTTTTTTTACTATGGCAGTCATTTGTACATAGAAGATAAGTTGTTAAAACAATTATTTTTTTTTTACTTATAGTACATAAGATAAGCTTTATATTAACATATGTTTGAAGCTCGAATTTTTTTTTTGTGCATTCCCCATTTGATGGGAAAGATATTTTTTTTTCAATTTTCAAAAGAGGGAATTCAAAATAACAACTTTTTCACAAAAAATTAACTTTTTCAACTTAACTTTTGAAAGTGTTCCGGAAACACTGACACTTTTATATATATCTTAAATTTAAGCTAATGTAATATATTTTATTATTAAAAAGAAATTTCGGACTTTTGTCTTCACGGTGAAAATGGCTTACAAATGCTATTTTTGTGTTAAAATTGTCGATTTTCAAGATTATGCATAAAAATACTTTTTTTTTTTATTCGACCTTTTCAAATTTTACAGTGGTGATTCAAAACTTAAAAATGCGTATAGAAAGTAGAACTTTATCAACTTATTTTTAATTAAAATATATTTATTGATTATTCATACGTAACCTAATAATCAAACATAAATATATTTTATATTAGAAGGATTTTGTTATTATTTTAACCATATGCGAAACTCTAATTGCAGATTTGAAATCGGCGCAAAAATGGGTTTCCAAAAGTATATTTTGGTCACATGAATATTTCTTGTAGACCAGTAAATTTATTTATAAATAACAAATAACTTTTTTTAAAAAAGTATGGCATCAAGACCTTTAACTTTTATATACGTTTGTCATAAAAGTAATAACTACTTTATAATTTTTTATAATTTCTCCGTAAAAATTACAATAATGAATCAGTAAATATAATTTTCATACTATATATATATATATATTAAACTTATAAATCATAAAATTTGTATTCAGGATATAAATAAGGAAATAGAAGATCATGTTGCTTTTGTAATAATCCACATTTTTTTTTAAAAATAAACATTATCTACAGATTTGCATCGAAGCGTTTTTTATGATAATGATTTTAATCAATGTCAGATTAAATCTATACTGGACCCAACTATGCCACGTCCTCACTGTGCTGGTTTTTTTTATATTTTGGCCTTACTTAATAGAACACATAAGTAAAATACCAAAAATAAACAAATTACTGTACTGTTGTCATAATCTTGAAAAGAAAGATCTATCAGTAAAATGTATTAAAATTAAATTTGTTGCAATTAAGTAATCGTTTATCAATTTTACAATAATTCATAATTTACGTAGTATTATCATTTTACTAAGTATATCCTTTTACAAATTATGTGGTTTTTGAATATGGTAGTGCATAAGATAGGAGAATACATGACAAAAATCACACGGAAATGAGAATGTATTGTTTGGAGGATACTAATAAAAATTTTTATTTTTTTAAAATTATAAGTTTATTTTTTTGTATAATTAATCTATGAATGCATTTTTACATTCAATTTACTTTCGCATTCTTAAAAAAAAATGATTAATTCACTGCTTAATTAGATAACTGAATAATCAGTTCTAATTAAAACTGATATTAAGTGTATTTTTGTTGCTCCCTTCTTGTCTAATTTGATTAAATTGGTACTAAGTTTAATCGCCAATTTATTATGGATTTAATGGAGAAATATTATATTTTATCATATAAAATTCATAAATTATTATGAACCAGTAAAAAATAATTGAATTGGTAAATTTAAGTTTAGTACCTCTAGTTTATTTGATGCATAAAAAACATTTTTCAATTGAATATTTATTCTATAATCTAGGAAACTAATATTCTAATAGTAATATAATCTAGTAATTTAAATCTTATCTTTCAAAAGATTAGATAAATAAAAGAAGAAATCTGTATCATCTCCTCTTATTTTTACTATATATTTGTTTAACTATTTAAAATTTGTATATAGTAAAACATATGATGATTTGAAAGTGTAGTTTCATGATTGAAACTAATAAGTTATTGAACTCTTCGTTCGGTTTAATGACAATTTCTATCTATAATCTCGAATAATATGTTTTTTTTTATCGTAGCCTAAATCAGTTTTGAATAGGTATCTTACTTTTAAGAATTATATTTTCCGTTTATTATACCATAGTAATGCCATACTAAATATAGTTAGGTTGTGGTCACGTGGACTTCGCAATTTCCTGGCTAATACGACATTAATAATTAATGTCGTTAAACAATTGAGACAATGACAAAAAATAAAAGGTACTAAACCAAAAAAAAATTATTTTTTTATTTTTTCATGGAAAGTATAATAATAGATATCCTGATAATTTGGGGGGAAAATTAATAAAATTTATATTAAGATTAAAAATTAATTTTTTCTATGAGTACTTTAAAAATATATCACAGCTGAAATTACTTAGAAATTTATTTACAAGTAAACACGTGGATGATGAATTATTCATCATCTATTATCTTGAAGTCTATAGTTTAAATATATATTTTTTGTTTACTTTTGGTTGTCTATGTAGGTAAAGTCTAATTTGCACATTCTGTTTACTTATGTCTAATATTTAACAAATTGATACATTTATAAAAATGTACATGTATATATATATAATTTCGAAGCTTAAGTATTTTATAAAGTTATGATAGCGTTTTTATTTGATTAAATTTAATATAATAAGACCACTTCATCAACTACTTCGGAGAAATTTATCTTAAGGCGGTAACTTATTCCTTTTAAGTAGATATCAATGTTGTTATTATTGTGATAATTTAGAACCTTACGCCGTATATAATCGTGGTTATTAACAAACGTACTGTCTATAGATTATCGGATTTTATTAAGTCCAACCCTTAATAATTTAAACAACTTATATAAAAAATTCAACACCATTAATAGTACACTAATATGGCAGTATCCAGGCAAACATAGTATTCCTGACATTTTGTTATTTACGTTTGTTATATAACGTTTGTAAACGTTTTGTAGTAAAATATAAGAATTTTAACTCAAGTTTTTCTTTATTATAAGTTATATATTCCTCTGATCTCGTTCATTTCAACTACTACCTATTTTGAGTAATGGTTTATTAATTTACTGGCAATTACTTTTATATATGTTGTTCAATATTTTTTTAAGAAAATTGATTCAAATAGAATGGTAGAAGATTATTTTATAAATCTGTTGATATGATTTATTAAATAATATTTGATATAATATATGCTTAAGTATCTTTTATTCATTTTATAAAATTTGATGGAAGCAACATTTATAATTCTACAACTTAAAATAAATCATTTGTCATTTTTTTTTTCAAAAAACACGTTAGTCGACGATTTAACGAAACGATTAAAATTATAATAATAAAGTTTTTTTTATCAAATTTGCGGATATTCAATTTACGATTATAAAAAACTATTTTTTCAGTTTCCATAAAAATAAAAATGTTGCACCGTGGGAACAAACGTAAAATTAGTGTTAATATACAGGTGTCTAACAATTTTTTGACATCATTATTAACTTTTGATCCAACAAATATTTTGGAATGCTTTTAAAATAATTTTTACAATTTTGGACTACGTTAAAAGAATATATTTTATTATTTGCTTTAATATAATAGAAACAAAAAATTGCCGAATTAAAAGTTATTTAAGATGTCAGAACATGGCGGGACACTCTGTATATATAGGATTTTAGTTTAAAAAAACCTATTTTTAAAAACTAAAAAAAAAATACTTTTTAATTAACTAGTGTAGAACAACCAAAAATAGTATTAGAATAATTCAAAATTCTACTTAGAAATTTCCTACTTTTGTAAGAAAATTTAAATGACATTGCCAATATATCTAATTTTTTTACTATAGTCGTTTGAAAAATAAAATGTAAATTTTTTATGATTGTAGACCCATATAATTATCACATCATTTGTTAGTATTACGAGTTTAGTTGTATCTACGATTATTTACATTAAATAATTCAAATTTTAATAATTGTATAAGAAGTATATATGTTTATTCGATTATTGAAAGGAGTGTTATTTGTTTTTATCAGTTATAAAATTAATATGGAGTTTAAGAAAAACGGGATACATACAAGGTGATTTTTTTGACGCTAGCCATTTAATTCTCTTAAAACAATGATTTTATTGTGAATTTTTTTTACGTTTGATAGTTATATATGTATTTCCATTTATCTGTTTTTGATGCTTATCCCTTATGTATTATAGTGGTGCCAATTTAATATATAAATGGCAACATATGTATTAAATTAGCTTATAGAATAGAAAATTATCTAATAAAAAAAACATTTTTACTAAACCCCATGTCTGAAACGCGGTTGCTGCTATCTTTATGATTAGTCATTTCTCGGTCCCATTTCTCCTCCACTGTATATTTTAAAATACTAATAATTTCCCAAGTATTAATCTAAAAATTTTTTATCGACTAGTCATTTTCTTAATTAGAACATTTTTTATTTTATAACTTAATTTAATACATATGTTGCCATTAAAAAAAATTATGTTGACATTCTTATAAGATATAAGGAATGGACATAGAAATTATTTTATAACAGATAAATAAAAATACATTAGTTACTAAAAAAATCTTTTTTTTTTTTTTTTTTTTAACTTAATATTTTAAGAGAAATTGAGTGGTTACCATTAAGAGTCACCTTGTATATTAGCATTAAATTAGTTAACAAAGAGTATTTGAATAGTAGATACAACAATTGAGAGTACCTAATGTTTAGGTTACTAGGGTTAAAGTGATAAAAAAATATGACTTTCTATTTCGGAACTTAATTATATGCAATGTAATTTACTTAAATAAAGGTTAGATGTTTGAAAAAAGTCATCTTGATATTTATTTTTTTTAAAAATATATTTATTTTAAATAATTATTATTTATTATTATAGAATAAGGGTAACTTATATATATTTCACGAACATTTGATTACTTTGGTTGAGAAAGATCATACTATCCATATATGTCTGTATTGTACTAATACAGACCCTGATTTGGAATATTGATTAGGGCGTATTAAAGTTTGTTCGGTCACAGTGAGAGGTATTTTGCGGAAGTCTTTATTAATATCATTTTTTTAATTGTTACTTTAATATTAAATTACTAGCTAAATTATAGACGAGTTAATATAAGATGTGTTATTTTTTATTAATAAAATATGTTATACATTTTAGAAATTCTGAAAGGCGCAAAGAAAAATCAAGAGATGCTGCTAGATCCAGACGTAGTAAGGAAACTGAAATATTTACAGATCTAGGAACGGCACTACCATTGCCGAAAACAATTATAAATCAGTTAGACAAAGCAACTGTGATGCGACTTACTATTGCATCTTTTAAAATCGTTGATGCTCTTTCCTCAAGTAATTGATTTATTATATTATCAAAGATTAAGTTTAAAAATAAAATAGTTATTAAATGCTTCGAGACTTTGAATTATCGAAACACAAAGATGTTGGTAAAATTTAAAGGGTATTTGGGTTAAAGTGAAGTTTCATGTTTTTATTGTATAATAATGAAAAAAATCTATCTAATTAAAGCACTTACAATAACAAATATTAATAGTTGTGTAAATGAATTTTTACTGATAAAAATTTACCTCTATTATGTATCACGTGTTCTTTTTTTGATAAAATTGAAATGTTTGTAACATTCGGTAAAATAAAATTATTAGATTATAAGTTGTAATTATTTTAATTTAATCTAATACTATGAAAAATAAATTTCTTGATTATAAATCAAATGTTTTAGCTTCAATGCGAAGCTGAGAAGGTATTAATTTTACTATGATGTGTTTTTTTTTTTATGTCTGTTGCTACTTTTTCTCAGCTCTCACTGGACCGATTTCTTTCAAAAGTATGTCAAAAGATCACAAATCGTATCTAGTTGGAGACATTACCCTTAAAAATTGAAAAAAATTCCCTCGTTCCCCGTAAATGGGGAAAATATGCAAAAAAATTTAAAATTTAAAAATCGGTAAATTTTGTCTTTTTTTTCTTAAAACTTCCATAACTTTTTGAAAAATAAACAAATCAATATAATTTTTTTTATACATAGATCTTTTTCAACTGAACTTTTGAAAATGTTCCGGGAATACTGCGTCCTTTAAACATATATCAAATTAAAGGTTATGTTATATACTATCAAATGAAAAAAATAATTTGTCCCGACATCTTATCTTCTATGTGCAAATGGCTGTCGAAAATTAAAAAAAAATGTAATGTTTGCGATAAAAATCACATCATATCAGAATGTTTTTTATACTTAAAACAGCCATAACTTTTTCAAATATTAACAAATCAAAATAATATTTTTTTGTATTGAAACCTTAGATATTTTCCTTTCATTTGATATCATTTTTTTGAAAATCTAACACTACACCTGCTCATTGGGGGGGATTTAAAATTGCAACTTTTTTACAAAAAATAACTTTTTCAACTTAATTTTTGAAAATGTTCTGGAAATACTGCGTCCTTTAAACATATATCAAATTAAAGCTTATTTTGTGTACTATAAAATTAAAAAAAAAATTTGTCCCGACGACCTATCTTCTATGCGCAAAAGGCTACCGTATTCAAAAATATGCTATTTTAACAAATTTTTTTTTTTTAATTAAACACTATCTACAGATTTGCATCGAAGCGTTTTTTATGATAGTGATTTTAATAACTGTCAGATATCATCTATACTGGACCCAACTGTGGACGCCACCTAACTGTGCTGGGTTTTTTTTTATTATATTAATTAAATTTAGTTATTAAATTATATTAAATGTGTGCCAAAGTGAAATTCTATAAAAAATGGTTAATGTAATAATTAGTTCAGAAAATAAATACGTATTTTTAAGAAATAATTTATGTCCTAGAAAAATTGACATGCTGTTCTATGGTTTTATAGATAATATTAAACTAATAATATTAAAATTTTAATAGTACAGATTTAATATGATTTTGTAACTATTTTAACAATATTAATAAAACTAGTGTACTAATGTTTTTATTTTTGGTAAACATTTTTTATAACTACATAGTTTAATGGGTAAATAAAATTTTCTTTAAGTAAATAAATTTATTCAAAAAAAAAATAATTTTAATCAAAGAAAATAATTAACTACCAGTTTTCTTACTTGTCTTTGTCTAAGTCCAAATAGTAGATTATATGTAGATCGTTTTAAAATTAAGTTCAAATAACAAAATTAATCAATCTTTTTAATTATTCATTACATAATTTTCTTTTGTTCAAATTTTAAAATATCCATTTTTAGCCCTTTTCTTATAAATAATTGTGATTAGTTGCTAACAATCTTAAGATAAGTACTTATTGAGTTACTAGCATTTTATTATATTGAGTATGTAGCGTGAGCGGAGTGTACATTATAAATATACACCAGTATGAGCTATACCTTTCCTGCTATATATACCAGTATTCAATATATTAAAAAATTAAATTTATACATTTTTTTATTAGAGATAAATAAGTTATATTTTAAACATATTTCAAAACTGTAAAAATGATGAAAAATGAAATTAGCACAAAATTTTTGTCGAATCAAGAGTTAATAATAATTTCAGATACATAATGTGGCATGTTTATATATTTATGTGTTATTAAATAATAGACTTGCCCTTTAAAATTTTAAGTAATTAACTAGTAATTGACCTTCAGAAATTTGTTTATTCAGTGCAATTTATGTCTGCATCATTTTTATCCTACTTTCAAGAGTCTCATTTTTTCAACAGTGCGTTTAGTTGGCCGTAATTACAAATAAATCTAATACAATGTTATTTTTAATATTTGTTCATTTTTCATATACTACATTGTATATTATTCTATTCTACATTATATAATTTATTATTTTACAAAAGTAACAAGAATATTAAAATAATATAATATATATTTATAAGTTAATTGTACAGTTGTTTATTTCTGATAAAACAATGATAAAAACATTCGTCATTTATTAATATTAATAATTGTAATACTGAAAGAAATCTGGTTAACCTTGGTAAGCTAAGAAACCCCGGAGCGTTTTAGTTACTAACATTATTGCTAATTTCACTATAAAACTAGACATCTTGGTACGAATGTTTTGACTGTTAGATATCGAAATATTATATTTGTATTGCATCTAAAAAAAAAAAAGAATACTTCATATACAGAGTGATTGTTTTTTTGTTAACTATTAAATTTCCCTTAGGCTAATGATAGATTTGAGAATTTTTTCTGGCTTTCTCAAGTAGCAATTTTTTCTTAATTTATAAGTGATAATATATTCATTGAATACATCCCTTAATCTTCATAAAGATATCATTATCAGTGGTACTGGAGCCGAGAGACAGGGGGCAGTTTTCCCTAGTCCTGTAGTAATGACCCTAGTAATAGGCAAAAATAATATTTCGCCACCCAATTGAATCTAACAAAAAAATTATATTAATGTTAAAGATTAATGTTTTTTAATTTTCTTTAATAATTTGATTAAAAATAATTCGTTTTTTAAAAAAACTATCCGATTTTGTGATTATTCCATACTTATATTTTTATTGTTTATGTATTATCATTTCTAGTCTAATAAATTTTAAGGATTAGAGTAAAATTGCAATCAATTTTTTGCCATAGATTAAATTTGTATTTTATTTATTATTTTCTCAATTTAAATTTACAATTTATTAAAGATATTTACCATAAAAAATTTGATTTTGAATTTCTCATAAATTGAACTAGATAGTTATAAAGTCAATTATAAGATATTTTATTTTATTTACTTATAAATGTAAATAGATAATAAATAAAAAAAGCCCTAATTAATCCTAATAAGCTATATTTTAGTATATTATCAATAATTATAATTAAAACAATTTTTAAATGATATTCATTATCAAGAATAAAAATGAATGGTCGATAATAACGTTTCAATGAGTATTTCGAAAGTAATTAACATTTTAAAATATTGAGTGATGGTCAGGTGTGAGTTATATTACCAGATTTAAAAAAAAATATATAAAACTTCTGAAATACTGGTGTAAAAGTTATAATTGACTTGTCATTTTTCAAAGCTAGTTAAATAAGTATATAGCCATAAAAAATATAAATTTCTATATCCTTATAAGGGATGGAGCTTAAAAATATTTTATCATGTATAATTTAAAAATAAATAATACTCAACAAAACAAAAAAAAAAACAAGTTCTTATATATATATTATTTAGCTGATATTTAATGATAAATGATAAATCGATCACTCTGTATATTAATTACAAATAGTAATTATTTTTATTTGACCTGTTTCTTTCTACGTGGGTTTCTACATTAAATTCTTTATGTAATGTTCAGTATAGTTAATTTTATATTAATCTTATTGTTTGTATTTAATTATAAATAACATTATTTTAAATTATTTAATTATTTATGTTGAAAGAAGTTTTGAATACAATTTCATCTTACTTTATTTATCATTAATTTTTCTTGTTCGATTTTGGGGTATTTATTATTTTATTCTCAGCTCTGACAAAGTATAATTAATCTTGGGCTGAGATATTTTAGAATTTTAATGTTTTTTAAGTACGGTTTAACATTCTTTGCTTTATATTTTATCGATTAAATATGTTTTCAGTGCACATTGATAATAAAATAAACGAGAAAGAAGAACCAAAACATTTAAGTGAAATATGCAATAAAGCTTTAGATGGAATCGTTTTAATAACAACGTCCGATGGAGATATAGTGTTTGTTTCAGAAAACGTATCCAACTACTTAGGTTTATCACAGGTGATATTATTAAAAACAGTTAATTACGTATCAGCGAATTTATAAATAATTTTTGTGGCATTTGAGTTAAATATTTCTTTTATAGTTTTCAGTTTTATATTAATATTTAAAAAATATTTTTAACTAAATGATCATATGCAAATTACAAATATCACTATGATAATCAGGCACACATTAAATTTTAATTTTAATAAAACTCAAATAATATATCGTTTTTAAATAATGGCCATTTTCCTACAGTTAACGGTTTTGATCATAAATAAACTTTTGAAAATAAATTTTTGTTATTGACTATTTGACGGGAATAGTCTATTTAGCTTTTATTATGTATTATTCACTATCTGAAATTATTGTTTATATATACAGATTGATTTAATTGGCCAGTCGGTTTATGAGTTCGCGCACCTTTGCGATCAATCTGAACTAAAAGAAATGTTAACTGCTAAAGATATTGGAGTACAAAAGTCTTTTTTTATACGAATGAAATGTACTTTAACTAACAAAGGTCGCAACGTAAATTTGAAATCTGCATCTTATAAGGTTAGTATCAAACTAGCTTAATTTTATTATTAGTTTAATATATTTAAAAACAATTGTTTTAAAAATTTAAAATTAAAACTTCAAATTTAGAAAAAATTTATTATTTAGTAACTAAATAATAAATTTTTTCTAAATTAACTGTTAATTATTTTTAGTTGGTAGTAAAATTTATTTGGAAATTATTTGTACAAATGAAATTTTTTACATAATATGCTCTTTTTTGTTTTTAATCTTAAAACAACATGTTTTGATGTATAATATGGCTTAATAACTAACAAGCTTATTAAATGTTGAACAATTTTAAAAACTTCGTGTACGTTTTTTTTGGCTCTTTCTATGAATTGTTAAATAAAATCTTAAATATTTATTTTTTATTAAAATAGTTTAGTATTTTTTTTGCTTAGTAATGTTGTTTGCTTTAATGTTGCATCACTCTAGTCTTTTGAAATTTGATTTCTCTAACTGTATACTTAAACATCAAGTAATATTCTTGTTTGACCAGTTTTATATTTATAATCCTCCCAATTTTACTTCTAAGCTTATTAAGTTTTCTGGATTGTTTTATTTTTCAGGATTCAATTTTATTAACTCTTCACTTGTATTGTATAATAATAGCAAATAATTTTTTACTGTCTAATATTTGAGAATCGTGTCACGTACGCATTGCAATAGTATAGATGTTCATAGCTCTCGAGCAAAAATAAAAAAATTGGTAGACTGTTATCTCAGCTACTGCAAATTTATTATAATATTATTTAGTAACATACTTAAAAGTATTTATTTTACTATTGGTTAAAATGATGTATGTATTGTTTCATATTCCATAAATAGAATACGAGACAATACATACATTTTATTAATTAATGGTTATCAATTTTATTTTATTATCCACGGATATTACATTAAATTATATTTAATATTAATTTGATATTATTAGACATCAAAAGTTGAAATTTAACTCTTTCAGTTAATTTGTTATTATTTTCAGTTAATTATTATTATTTTGATTACACTTTTGATTATTTTTTAATCAGTAAAATATATATATTTTTAATTTATTTCATTTACTTTCATAATTTGTAGAAAAAACCACATGAGAGACAAACAACAAAGAACTCTAACTTCATATATTTATTACTTTTTATATGCTAAAACTACATAACGTTTTAAGCTTTTTTTCTAATTGTTTTATAATTTTTGAAAGATTGACACATTTCTATATTAAATGTATTGTCTAATCAGAGAATATTGTAACTTACAAGCTATAGTAAATAATTGAATCACACAGTTAAAATTTTTATGGTCTAATAATAATTATATTTAATAATTAGATGACCTAATTGAGTTGAAGACATTTTTTTTCTTCATAATATTTAATTTAGGTATCAATTAAAATTAAGTGATAGACAAAAAAATGCCGATAGGTTAAAATTATATTCTCTGGTTTATCTCCGTTTTATTTTTTTGTGAATTTTTAAGTTTTCTATTTTTCTTAATATATAGGCGTGCGTACAGGGTTTTTAATTGGTGCTTTTGGAGATTTTTACAGATTAAGCGTTTTTAAATTGGACTAATTACAATTGATACTTAATATAGAAAATACTAAATTAATTTTGTTTTGAAGGAGAACTATCATCAGACTGTAGTTTAATAATTTTCAACATTAGTTTAAAAATAGTTTCTTAAGGTTAAATGCCTTGCAATTACCTTATATCATCCATAAATTATAGGCCAGTTTTTATTGCTCTAAATCAAAATCGTCTATGTCTTAATACACATTTACGTTTCTGAACTTTATTTCCATTTTACAAAACAAGCGCTGTTAATATTACTTAATTATGTTATGTTCTAGACTTTTATGACATTTTTTTTATTTAGTTTTAAATATAAACTTCAAAATGATTAATTTAGAATAGATTTTTATTTTCTAGTTATTATCTTATAATAAATATGATAATGATTTCATTGAGTATATTTATTTTAATATATTATGATATATTCATTAATTACTACTTAATTAACTTCAATTTTTAAATGTTATAACATTAACAAAATACTTTGAAATGTGCGCGTATTATTGTTATTTGCGTCATTTAAATGTACTGGCGTCCATAACTACTTCCTAGTAGGTGTAAATTCGAGTTGTTTTAGTTTGTTTCACAGTTTTTCCGTCTTATGACGCGACTGTATTAAATATTATTTCTCTTAGCATCAAATTTATAGCTCAGACAGTAATATACATATGATCACTTTTAACTTTTCATATTTCTTTCATGAATAGAAGGAATTAAATTTATTACTTGTGAATGAAATGTTTGTTTCATTACTATATATGATATAAAATATTCATTTAGCAATTATTATAATTTTATTTAATATATTAAATACAAATATATTTTTAAATGAAAACTCAACTTGAAAAACTTATGCCGTCGTTATTTATGCTACTAAAATTTTATTTATAAACGTGACTGAATAAATTATAAAAGGATAGAGGTCACATTTGATAAGTGTTAAATCATTGCTGTATCATATAAAGTAAAATAAAGTATTCTATCAAAATATTTATATATTGAGTCTTACTATAAATATATAGTCTATTAATTACTTCTCTTGAGTCAAGTATTTTAATTGATGTCTAATTATCTTTGTTTTTAAGACTAGTAAATTATATTAAACACATAATTGATGGAATGTTATATTAATATTACTGCGGGTTACCCAATAATAGAACTTCATGTAATGTTATAGAATAATATTGTACGTGTAAAATAATTTAATTCTATGTTTTATTTTATTATATATTTTTTCAATTTTGTATTATTATGCATTATAATTACTGAAGACTTCGATTTAAAAGAGAACTAAATCTAAGTAAAAATAAAACAAAAATGACACTTCCAGTGTGTAAACACTAGCGTATGAATAGTTTCACATTGTGGATAGCAGACCACAAATTTTAGCGTAGGCCAACAACCTTACAAAACATTGCGATTTATGCAAAGACAAAATACTTTTTGTTTTGAGGATTCAGATTGATATTTCAAAAGTAGTCGTTACTTGGTTATACCTTATATTTTTTAAAGCTATCCATTCATGCGTAATAGTAACGAAATTTTATCATTGTAAAAATCCAGTTTTAAAAATAAACCCAAATCGAGTTGATATCTTATACAATATTATAACAACCCTAGTATTTACTCATTTAAATTTAGCGAGTTTATTTCTAGAACAAAACCTTTAATTTTTAATTTCAAATATTGGATAACATTTTATTATGAATTTTTCAATGATATTAGACTAATTAAATATATTATTTATGTAAGGTACTACATTTTACGGGACATTCTTTAATTAATTCAAGTGCCAAGCGAAAAGCAATATTATCAGAAGAAGACTCCGATTCTGACTACGAGTCTGATAAAAAAATCGATTCTGATACAAAAATTAATCATGAATATTTAAAACACGAATCGTTAGTTCGTAATGAAGTATCCCAAATATTCGTATCAATTGCAGAACCAATACCACATCCGTCGAATATTGAAATACCATTGTATAAACAAAGCAAAATATTTTTCAGTAAACATTCATTGGATATGAAATATTTAATTGCCGATGACGTGTAAGTATTTAAAACTTGTTTTTAAAATAATTATTGTTCTTAGCGTACTATGAATATTTTTAAATTACTTTTGTTTGTACTACGTTATATTAATATTAGTTATAGCTAATTGTATTAATTTTTTTATTATTTCGTTAAAAATAATTTAAGAGTTGTGTGGAAGAAAACATGGTTTTTAATAAATTTATAAATCAGTGTTCGAAGGGAACTAGTTACATGAAAAAATTAAAAAAAAAAAAAGAACCGTCTCATGAACGAGTTCTTTTTTGTGTTAAAAGAACGAGAAACGGAACGAATTCGATATCCAAATAAAAAATAGTATATTTTCATTCCTTTAGTTTTTTTATACCTAGATATAGCATTGTACATGGTTCAACATTAAACCTTAATATTTAAAATAAAACCTATTTAAATTTGAAAAGAGATAGGATTACGCACGATAGGGGCTGTTATTTATTACTTCTGTTATTAAATGTCAAATTCTGTCATTCACCGTAAATAGAGGAAATCCCATAAAAAATTTCATTTTTAAAAATCGGTAATTTTTGACATTTTTAAAACATTTTTAAAAATAAACAAATAAACATAACTGTTTTTTATAGATATCTTAGATATTTACCTAAAAATTGACATATTTTTGTGACACATCTGACCCTTTGAGCGATTCAAAATGATAACTTTAAAACTTCTTAAAAAATTCTGGAAATACTGACAATTTTTTTATATATATCTTAAATTAAAGCTTATGTAATATACAAAAATTAAAAAAAAAATTGATATTTGGACTTTTCTTCATGGTGAAAACGGATATTAAAGTTAAAGAAAAATGTACGATTTTGTGAAAAAATTGATAAATTTTAGATGCCTTTGATTTTTATCTCGATTTGATTTAATAAATAAATATTAAATATATATGAAGTACTACGTCACTGTAGTCTTCCCTTGTGAGAAGGAATTTCTTATTCATATTAAAATAATTTTATTATATGATTTTTTTTTTTTGTCTCTCATTCATTTTTCTAATAAAATTTTCTATTTAATAATGTGGATTTCAAATTTGAAAGTTGAGCTAAGTAAGTTATGGTAAAAAGTGCAACTTTATTTTATTATAAAGTTTCATAAAAATCAACTTTTAAGGACCAAAATAATAGGTTAATAATGACATTATTTTTAATATATTGAAAATCTAAATCAAAGATTATTTGAAAACAAATTTTTTTTTGTATTTAATTATCTTTTTTTATGTGTAAATACTCGTTTTTTTCTAATTAGTAATAATTTGAAAAAAATTTTTGATAGAAAAAATCTAATTGTAAATTTAAAATTGACGAAAAATGGGTTAAGAAAATTATGTTCTAGTCTCTGATTAATATTCTTTGTAGACCAGTATTTATTCATTAGTAACGAAACATTTTTTCTTTTTTAAAGTATAACATCAAGACCTTTAATTTTCAAACATGTTTGTCATAAAAGTAACCAAATATACAATTATTTTATTATTTTTTTATAGTTTGTCTATAAAAATATTTTGTTATTAAATATCAATTTCATACTAAATTTAACTACTATAATAAGTATTTATTCATATATTTTACTTATAAATGAAAGATCTACTTATCAGGATATAATTAAGAAAGTTAGATGTTGATATTGCTTTTGGAATAATCCACCAATTTTTTAAGATTAAACAATATCTATAAATGTTCATTGAAACGTTACTTATGATTGTGATTTTAGTCTCTGTAAGATATTATTTATAATTATCCCAACTATGCAACATCTTCACTGTACCGCGAATCGACTGTGCTACCGTTTTTTTTTTGTTTCTATGGATTAGATATCAGTTGCTGAACAATTAACCATAACAAACAAAAAATTATTTATGCACGAGAAACGTGCCAAACACTTTATAATATATATATTATATATATATATATGTTTGTATTAGATTAATTTGTTTTTATTTTTAAAGAGAATAGTTATAATTTATTAACTTATATGATATATGTATATCCTATACTTTTTTTGGTGTTTTATAACTTTTTTTCTAGTAATTATTATTTTTTCTATTTGTTATTTTTTACTGATTTTTCAGTTATTGTTATTACTAAAAAGAATTGAACCTTATACATTACTAGTATTCTTAAATTAGTTTTAATTTTTAGAAAAATGTCTTTTTGGAAAATATATTTTTTATATATTTTAGGATAACAAAATATTTAGGTTATGAACCACAATCATTAATATCAAAATCCATTTTTGATTATTATCACGCCCAGGATTGTAACTCTATTGAAAAGAGTTTTAAAATTTGTAAGTTTCAATTTTGTTTTTACATTATAATGAATTTTATTTTTAATAACATCAAAAAAAGGATTTATTGTGAGTTTATTTTTAACTAGTGTTTCAAAAAGGCCAAGTGGAAACAAATAAATTCAGATTTTTAGCCAAAGGAGGAGGCTATGTATGGATTGTAACACAAGCTACCATTCTTAATGATCATAAAGGTCAAAAACCAGAGAGTGTTATGTGTATTAACTATATTGTCAGGTAAATGTTTTAGATAAATTTTTGAATTAAATTTAAGCATAGATTTCAGATACAATTAAAAATTATCTGATGTAAATTACTTTAAACGTGCTAAAAAGTCTAAAGGACTTACGTTTTCTATACAAGGATCGAAATATACATATATTTTTTTCTATCTTGTAATCGATAGACTGTGTAGAACAATTTTATACTCTCAAGAAAGTAATTATTTTAATATTGTAATTAAGTAACTAAATATTTACAAACAGGCGGAGTTTGAAAAAAATATCTTGGTGTTTAATTAAAATTTTTGCTCACCTAAAATATATTTGTTTATATCACATTGTCTATAATTTTCTGAAAATTTTAGAAAACATAGACCTCAATTTTTACCAAAGGTGATCATTTAAATGTCCATTTTTAATTTTTTAAATAAGGTTTATTACAAATATTTTTCAATAATTCTTCATTTATTTTGTTTGGTTAAATATATGAGAGCATATAGAGGCAGATGTGACCTATTATTACATCTTGTTTGCAACTAAATTATCCACTGTGTCATTGCATCCTTAAACAGTCATTGGATTGATAGATATCTAACTTTAAAATAAAATTTTGAGGTATAAGAGTATTTCTTTCGAATATATTTACGTATGTATAATTTATAAATATATTAAGCCGAATATGGCCTAATTCTATGTACTTTTTAACACCACTTATGGCCATTTTATTGTTTAAATTTTACATACTAATTGTATCATTAATACTTTATTTTTCAATCATATCTATAAATAACAATATGTTACATGATTATGACAGTGTTATGTATAAAAATGGTTTATTATTTATCATAGAAAAATGTATTTTAAGTGTGCCTTTATCCGACCAAAATTAATTCACAGGAAATTTTACAGCTCAGAAAAATTATAATTATTAATAAAAGATATACTAATAATATATTAACTGTTTATAAAACGTTGAGAATTATAAGACTTAATTTTAAGGGAAGGTGACAATATTGACACTCATTTAAAGTGCCATTAAAATATTTGATATAATTCTTGCATGATTTATAGCCTGGTTTATAACTAAAAATTATTTTTTAAAGAAAGTACGACACGTTTACGTTTAGCACTTATTATTGTCCATTCGGAACGATTATACTGAAGGCAAAAACAACGAATTATGTGTTAGACAAAAGTTATTAATTTTAAATATCTCTAAAGAATCTACGACATTCATAGTTATGTTATTATTATTAAAAAAATCATTAATGTTTATGTGGTACGAAAACACGTTTGTCAGAATTTAATAAAATTACATATTTATAATGCAGTTCACACATTATTATTATGCACTTATGCTTTTACTGTTGGCGGCACATATCAATTTTCGGAATAAGACGAAAAATCAAGATACGGTTAAACGTGGTTTTACTATAGTTATATATAATGAGCGGTAAAACGTTAATTTTCCTAGGTATGTTTAATAACTCCAGTTGGGACTAAGATATATATATATAAATATTTAAATATACGTAGTAAGTACATCCTAAATGGCTTATATGAGTTATTGTTTCATTAAATTTGAATACATCTAATTTTGTATAAATAAACGGCGTTTCGCATAGGCAATTTCATATATTAATGTAAATATACCTTTAAGCATATCGTTGTATTAAAAGGCGTTTTAAGTAAGCTTATTTATAATTTTTTATTATTTTAAAATTATACTTATTCTCTTCGCAATTTGTAAAATCAGTAACTTATGTTTTTATAAATTTGTAATTATAATTATTTCATTGTTATAAAAAGTATTTTATTTTATATATAATAGTTCATTGTTTTTGTCTATCAACAAATCTAGTAACAAAGTATAAACTCATTGTAGAAACGTAAAGTTGTTAATATATTTTTTTGCTCTTTGTTATCAAACATAATATTTTGAATTAATTATACTAATTCTGCTCCTCTCCCCAAATACATACTATTCGCTAGATAAAACTTCAATGGATTACTACTTCTTATTTTAATTGTTTTTGGTTTTACTTTATTTGTGTTACAGCAGATATATTGTCTTGTAATAAAGAGTTTCATTTCTTATATTATACGTTTTAATTTTGGAAAAATATTAATAATGACGTGATTTATTAGGTTTTGTTCGGTCTTTTAACTAACTCATTTGATAAAGATTGAAATTAATTTGTATATTACTCAAAATATTCTGTTCTTTTGAAGAGAAGATAGGGCTTTTAATCTACCAAATTATCAAATAATATGTTGAATTTTATTAAGTGTCAATGGGTAAAGACAATATTAACACTTTTTAAAGTATAAATTTTTAAAAAAAAGTTTTAAATATTAGTATGGTTATCGCCTTTGTTTAGGTTTAATCAATCAGAAGTGATAAGAAATAGTATTTAAGCATCTTCTTCGACATAACTCCAGTTTTGAAAAGTATAAAAAACATTGGCTAATGAACTTTTGCATTCGTCTAAACTTTTTCATAATTGCTTGTTGTTTCATTCCATGAATCTTGTAAATATAAGTATAATAAGATACTTTATAACGCTAAATAATTTATATGTTAGTTACATATAGTTTTAATGCAAGTCATAGTTCACCAGGTTAACTGAAAATTATTATATTTTGATTTTACATGTTGAGAAATATTACCATAGATAAATGTGATGTTGACTAGACTTTTAATTTTTCATAATAAATGGTGACTGAGTCGTAGTAAAAAAATATTTAATGTAAATTTACATGATGTATATAATATTTCAAACCAATGGTTATTAAAATATTGCTTTGCTTGCATGATTTTAATTTTTGTCTGATGATAAATTGTATTTCTTCGAAATAATTTTCATATTTGTTGTACTTACGAACGCAATTTGAATCAAAAAATTCAAATAAAAAAAACCTTAAAGTTCTTCTGATTACGTTTTCCTATTTATCATAAGCAATTTTACTTTTATGTCTATGATTGAACTGTTCGTTAGGTAACACGCCACTTTTTTTTTATAATAAATATAATCAAGCTTGCAAATACATTACGAGAATTAGCATAGCTGAAATAGAAGTGAATATGATTATTCTGAAAGTCTCTAATTAAATTTTTTCTACTATTATATGTATTCTTTATCAAGTAATACTTGCAGTGGCATTTAATTTATTTTTGTTTTGTTCTAAAATTAGTGAGCTGCTTTGTAGAAAAAATTTTTTGAACAATTAAATCAAGGTCATTTATTTACCTTGAGTAATTTTCCTCTTTTTTTTTATTATAGTAAACATGTGTATAAGTAATGATTTAGTTGTATTTACTATTAATGAACCTCCCAAAAACACCCACCAAACTACAAATTTTTCAACTTAAACCCAAAATGTTTTTTAATGATCCTATTGAAAATATTTGCTTTGCCAAAGACATACTTTTTTTGATAATCCATTTATTATCCAATTTAGGCTTAAGATCATATGAATTTTTTTCTTTTAAATTTTTAAAATGTTTCAAAAAATCTGACTTTTTTAGACTAAAATTAAATTAAAGCTATTACAATGTACTTTAAGAAGAAAAAAAAATACATTTTTGAGATATCTATTGAGTTATTAGCCGTTAAAGCCAGAAATCATAATTTTTTTGCATAGTATCGGAAAATCTGTATCATTTAAAGCCAAATTAAATATAATAATTTTTGTGTATTAAACGATTAAAAAACAAAGACGTTCGGGTGACTTTTTCATTATGAGTAATCATCCTCTTAAGTCAAAAATCATGAAATGTTTTGGTAAATATATATATATTTTTATTTGTGACATATAATACACATCAAATTGTTTTACAATAGTGAATTTAATCACTATCAGATATCAATCAATATTAATCTATAAAGATACTTCAACTTTATTGTATGTAAATACTTATTACTTCCAATGTGTTATAAAAAATAATCAGCTTAAAAATAATTTTTTAGATAACTTAATGATCAGTTTTACAATCTTTTATTTCCCGAACTTGTTACAGAGAGTGGAGGTTCTCTTTCGAATATTAGTGAGTTAAAGACATGATTCTTGGCTAGGCTAATTATGGACGAAACGAGTATTTGGTCGGCTTACATTAAAGACCACACGCCACCAATGAGAAAATTATAATAATATTGTTTGGCACCCTGGGGATCGAACCCGGGAGCCTGTGCGTCAAATCATAAGTATGCCCCCACCAGGTCCGACCGAGCTCTGAAAATTTGTCTAGATAATTTTTTCATAGAATTTAGACATATTTTTACTTAAATTTTTATTTTGATGTTTATACAAATAAAAATTAAATTAATAATAGGATAAAATTTTTAATCCTAACATTGGTAAAGTACTTTTAAGAGTTCTTATAGCCCTAGATTCTTTTTAACATTAATTAACTGTAATTTGTAAATATTTGAATTTTCATTTCCAGAAATTATGGCTTTTATTTTATCATTATCAAAAACTTGTAATTTTTATTGATTTATGGTTCTTGAATTTGAAATAAACAAAAAAATAAAGTGTTGGTTTTCAATGAAAAGTTGTGTATTGTTTGTATACCTATCAAAAGTTTGAATTTATTTGAATAAAATTGTAAAAGATATAGTCAATAGAAGTTTTCCGATTCATTTTTATATTTTTTTAATCAATGAACTACAAACAACTGAGTTCAAAAATATTTTCTAAACTGTGTTTACGTGTGTGTATTATGACGTTAATAAATTTTATTACAGTAACTTACGATGTTATACTAAAATGCATTTGTAGACGTCTAAAGTTTAATTATATAATGATATTATTTATAATTCAATTAAAGAATATCTAGAAATATTTTATTTCAATTTTTTTTGATAAATTAATTTTGTAATTCTTTTATAATTAAATTTAATGAGAGTATCTACTACGCAGTATATTTGTATTTTTTAGTTAAATTTGTTTTTCAACTGATATATAAAACAAAATATTATTTATGATTTAAATGATAAATAAAAACGATGGACT